ATTTAGAGAAATATGTTAGTTTTTCTAAATGTCAGTGATTGGTAAACAAGTGAGTTTAAAGCTATCTGTTTACTCAACAACTAATATTCATTCAATATATATATATATATATTTACTGTTACTATCTTTAAACACGACACTGTTTTTAATTAAAAAACAATTCCAAAAGTTGGTGTGATCACGGACAGTAATTTTGCTCGAAATATTACCAAGATCAGAAATTTATTATTATGTGTAAACAACCACTGAAATATAATTTAAATTTATTAGTATTTCACTAATTTTAATCCAGAACAATATATATATATATAATATATATATATATATTATGACGTTGTATAAAATGAGGCATTAATGGGTGAGCTGCTTCGAAGAATTAGCGATGATGATGTATTCATGTAGTGCACGTTATCAGCTTGTGTTTCAATGCAAATTATATCAACTTCATATTAATCTTACTAAATTTTTTTGGCATTGTGTTGAAAATATTTTCTGTTAATCATCATTACTTTTAATTATGATGAATAGTCATAACAATATTTACCAGTGCGAGCATTTTACGTGTTACAGTGTGCAACATTGGTTTGCTTACTATGTTCAATGTCTTATTCTTCGGTGAAATTCACGAATCTGTCTGCTTCCATTTACAACATTACCCGAAGTGATACGTTGACATGTAAAGTTCTACGTTAATCTAACAGTTACACATACACACACACAGATTAAAACAGTGACTCGAAATTATGCTTACATTTAAAAATAGGTTGGACAGAATCTATATGACATCCAGATTCAAACAGTTACTACTTTAATTAATTAAAGCCAGTTCGTTAATAAGTATCTACGCCATTTCTTAATGTAAACCTCAGTTATGAAATTTCAAAGCTAAACAACTAATCAACTCTTCAGCTAGTGAAGCCGTACGCTGAAATCGTGTTAAATTTAGGAATTCAAGAGCAATATTTATCGGTAAGGCAGTACTGTTATAAAAAGAATAACAGTAGTTATTAGTAAAGTTTAAAAAAAATTCGGGTCATGGAGTATGTGGGTGTTTATTACGATTTCCAAAGCAATAGCAAATAATTGTATTAGTGAATAAAAGTGAATAACCCATAGCTGTATCAAAATCATAGCACATCCAATTTTGAAGATCGTGTATGTACAGAAGGCAGAGGATTGAGATAAATACTAGTCGAAAGGATAATTATACATCAATGCAATAACTAAAGCAAGGGAATGTCAATATGTTGAAGTGTTATCGTGGTAATATGAAGTCAGCTGCCATTGAATAGCTGTGTCAATAAGGGGTACTAAGTAAAATGCTGTAAGCGATGCTGCTTAATAGTATTAAGTAGTATAAAGTTCACTACACAAAATGCAGACTTAGATTCTTGATGCTGTGGGGAGTAGAGTTGAATAAAAATATTTTAGGATGATATTGTGGAGACAGACAGATATACTACCCCCCTAGAAGATCTGTGTAAGTTCAAGGTGTCACACCTATAAATAACACAGAAAAGAACAAAGACGGAATTACGTTACAATAGATAAAAGTGTCGGAGAAGAGATGACCTGTGATAAAAAATGAGTTTATCTGCAGTATTGTAAATTATTTTGGTCCATGTTACCAAAGATCCCCAGCTGTTGATTGTTACCTCAACCCGGCTTACTCGCACTCGTGTGCATCGCTCATGAATCAGTTATGATTCTTCAGTTTGGAGAGGATGGCATATAATAAGATATAACAGCTGGTATATATTCAAAACAATATGAGGCTCATTCACTGTAGCATAATTCAACCTTTAAGAATAGGTGTTTTAAGGAATTTTGTCGTCACTCGTATCCTTCCAAGTATTTAAAAAATTTATCGCGTTCTTCATTCATTATTTCACGGTCTACTTAATGCAAAACTCAACTTAGCGAATGACTTTACAGAATTCGACTGATTGATTTTTATATGATAAGTAACATTTTGCATATAGAGATAAAATGAAATGACCTAAGACAACCATAGATTGAACTAAAAGGCTTCGGAACACTAAGACACACTATTTGATTTTGTGCATATCGATCCCTGAATTTGTGGTATTTGTGAACACAAACAGTTGAAAAAGACCTCATCAAACATCTATGGTTTGGAAAGATGTAATACTGTGCTTTTTTCCACCTTATGCTAAGTGTTTATAGGATAATAACATAGATGTAGTAGGATGGTAATATACAAGTCTTTCAGTTCATTAGATGTTGTCAGTGCAGTTGCCGCTGTTTTCTTGAATGTGGTAGCGCAATTCAAACTTCTTTTGTATCCACATAGAGAAACTTGTAGTAAATCTTTAGATTTCAGTCGTCCAGCAAAGTTGAAGTTATTATGGTACATACTGTTGTGTGATTACCAAACTTATTAAAATCAGTTTGTTGCATACACCTGTAAACTCAATTAAAAACGAAAAAGTTGTCGAAAGTTAACACTAGATTTTACCTTCATTGTATAAACTTGAATTCACTTTCTGAAACTCATTTAGCAACCGCTAAATGAGTGAATACACTCCTGATAAGTTAATCTTCAATAATAACAGGTCACGAAAATGAACTCAAGTATTTAAATATATTTAATATTCCCATAGTAAAACTTAGAACAACACATTCAAGCGAACAATATTGTTTTCAATTAGATCTCATCAGGCTTAACACTAATATACATAAGTTTACAAATAAAAATTCAAATATAAACCAATCATGGTGTTTTGTCTATAGGGTAATACGATGGTGAATATAAATTGTGCAATTTGTCATAATAGAAGTAATGATAGTAATAATGATGGTCTTATCAATAATAAGGATGAAAAATTGAGGCAATCTGTGATAACACGAATAATGAAAAACAGCATAGTTAAACAAACAAATGTTCAGGTGGAAGTAGCCGATAAAGGCTAGTAAAAACAAATGAACCGATTAAGTAATGTTAGATTATAAGGGAAGTAAATCAAACACGCTTATAATTAAGATGTGATGAGATTAAGGGATGATAAGAAAGGGGTTGAAAATATAAACAAGGGCTGGTGTAGAAGTCATTAGTTGGTCATGTCTTAATAGGCCAAGGGAGGGATACTGGCTGTACGAACTTTTTTCGAATGCATAGTTTAGGTTTAATAGTTCTAATGCCTATCGCCTCAGCTGTGTGAAGTAGACGAATACGAAGTCTTCATTATATAATAAAGGTTTTTGTATTTCCCAATGAACGAAAAACAAAACGATATTGTTTTTACTGACGTTTCGCTATTTAATGCTAGTAGCTTTATCAAAGTATTATTAAACCGGAATTTACACAATCTCAGCATATATATAACAAAGAGTTAAGGGGTGAAAAAATAGACTTAGGTCAAGTTAAAGGGGACATATTGAAAGCCAAAAAAACAATGAAGATCACTAAACCAAATAACAAAGGTAATAGTACGTCTGTTATGATATCAAAATAAAGTTTGCTAACTTGATCATCGTTCGTCAGTCTGGGGTTATTTTTCGTTGTCAAGTTGGTCAATTGGTAAAGATAACAAAACTAAGTGTAGATTATTGGATCTGATCAGTGTGTAAAATTATAAAAGCAGTGTGTGTTTACATAGTGAACTTGCTTATCACATTCGTGTTGATTTTGTCACTTCATGGGGTAGGGAGGTGATGTAACCAGGTCAAATTCTGTTTTAGTCCATCATTCCTATTCAGGCAATTTGGATTCCACTTGATATGAAGTGCTTCTGATATGAGACGTTCTTTGTGATTTCTGAAGTTTTTCTGGACTATTTCAATATTTTCTATAGTTTGGTTTGTAAGGGTTAGCTATGTTTTTACGAGTTGATCACGGATTGATAAATTCATGAGCCATTGAATTGGGTCCCAGTGGCTGATTGGTATATGAGCTTGCCTTGTAACCGGAAGGTCTTGGGTTCGGATCCCAGTGGGTGCGTACTGCCGATCATTCCTAAACTAGGATGGAACAGCAGCTGTTCAGTACTCCAGTGCTGGTTTTCAATGGTTCTCTAACTTATTTCAATATTGTCAAAATCAATTTTGTGGCCTGATTCTATAGCATGTAGACCTATGACTGATGATTTTTCAAGTTTTTCTAGTTCAACCGGATTTCTCAGTGGTCGGAGAGATGCTCTACGATGTTCATTTCTTCTGATTTTGATTTCTCGAGATGTTTGTCCGATGTATATCGCATCATATTCCAAGCATTTTATTTTATAGATACAAATAGATAAAGAATCTTTAGGAATTTAGTCTTTTATATGGACAAGGTTGCTTTGAAGTGTGTCTGATGTTTTGAAGAAAACACTAATGTCGAGCTGATTGAGTAATCTTCTGATATCGTCTGACGTCTCTGCTCTATATGGAACCGTTAAATGTGAACTTGGTTTGGACATAGAATACGAAGTCTATTGGAAAGATTCGGTGGGATACGATGAATTACTTTGAAGGCTCTTGTTTTCTGCACTACATGGTCATGTAGTCATGCTGTTTTTCATTATTCGTGTTATCACAGATTGCCTCAATTTTTCATCCTTATTATTGATAAGACCATCATTATTACTATCATTACTTCTATTATGACAAATTGCACAATTTATATTCACCATCGTATTACCCTATAGACAAAACACCATGATTGGTTTATATTTGAATTTTTATTTGTAAACTTATGTATATTAGTGTTAAACCTGATGAGATCTAATTGAAAACAATATTGTTCGCTTAAATGTGTTTTTCTGAAGTATCTTAATAAGGGTTATTGAGCTTCACTTGAATACATCATCATTCATTTTTACGTTAAAAATACCCTTAACTTTTGAATGGGATGTCGCTGTCTATTTTCCAGCAGGACTTTGTATTAGCCATATTTATTTCTATACACTCTTGTTAGTTAGTTAGATAGATTTTTGTACATCTTTTTTATATTAATCTAATGTATACCGACGTATTCATTTCATTTGTGAATAATTCAGGTATGGAGATATTGTACCGACTACAATCATTGGAAAAGTAGTTGGAGGAATTTGTTCGCTATCTGGTGTGCTTGTTATCGCTTTACCAGTACCTGTTATTGTTTCACACTTTGCTAGGATATATCAGCAAAATCAGAGAACTGACAAAAGAGAAGCTCAAAAGGTAAGTTAGTGAAATTTAAAATTTGAAAATTATGCAGAAATGCATAACACGCGTTAATTCTCTTTTTCTTTAGGTTTATATTCAAGTTTTGAGTACCATAATCATTGAAAAGTCGTTTTAAATCTCTTGACAGGTTTATATAAGCTTGTATGGTTATCATGACTTCATTACACTTTCCATCACGTTAAAACTGGTCAAAGAACTGCTGAGAATCACCTGTTTGAAATTATTATATTGCTTTATGTGTATCCATCAGCTAGTCACTTCTACAACATTGTATTAAAAGAATTTTGTTTTAGAATATTTTTCAATGAGATGCTTATTTTATTTTTGATTACAGCTTGATTCCACACTGTATTTTCGGTACAAGTATAGAATTTTCAGCATGGATATCGGTAGCCCAAATTTTGCAGGCTGACCATAGATATCAGGTGTGCGTCGGCGAGGGATCGAAACCCAGACCATTTGCATGGCTGGCGAGAGTCCTAACCACTGTGCCACCGACGCATTTTAGCTTCAAAGCTGTAAAATATTAAGCAACTATTGGATCAAACGTACTCTATGTTCAAGAATAACTACAGGGTTTAAAATATGTGTATAAATCTTCATCAAGTGGATAGAGAAGTGACGATAAGAATGAAGAGTCATAAAAATCTAAAGTAATTTAAAGTAATTATTGTAAACAAACTTGTGAAATTTATTAATAAAGTGTGTGTAATAGACTAACTAAATAATTGAAAGACTGTCTGAATAAGATATTGAAAAAAATAATTTGCTATTATTTAATATCTTATCAATCTATTTTCTAATAGATGAACTGCGATCGTCTTAAAGTCTTGATGTGATTGATGAATTCCTCTAAAGATAAAAACTGATATTTAGTGAATGGACTGTTTGCTGTTTATGGTTACACAAAACAGGTGACATGAAATTAGCATTACATTTTATCCTTTCTTTATTGGTTATTAACATATTTGAGTCCATTAAAACTGTCTATAGGTTATCTCAACTGAGATTTTATTAAATTCAAATCCAGACAATCACGTGAATTCTCAACCTGAGAGGTAAAACAAATATAGTAATACCAATACAGAGAAGATTTGTAGCTCAGAGAACACCTTTTAATTGCAAATAGTAATACCCATACTTTTGATACTTTAAAAAAAAAATTTGTTCTAATTGCTATTAAATATTTTTTTGTTTCCTTTTTACAGAAGGCTAGACTATCTCGTCTAACAGAAATGAAAGCTGTAGCAGAAGCTGCATTTTCAGAAGGCAAGAAAAAATACAAAAATAGACGGATCAAATGTAGCAATGCAGTTGTTGGTGATATTGCCAGCGATGCAAAGGAGCATAAACAAAATGATATTGTAGAAGATGAATTGGAAAATGCGAAAATTTACGACAGATACAATAAGAGTAGACAAATAGCAGTCAAAAATGACGATGACACCAACATGGATGATGAGCTTCAAGACTTATTTGAACAACAATATTACCATTTGATAGATTGTCTACAACAGACAACAGTAAGCACATTCCTCGTTACCAATCCCTCCCCCCACCCAACACTAATTTTTATGCTATAATTATTCGTGACTTCTAATATTGTAGGAAATGAAACCTAACTAACTAAAACTTTGTATGTGATACACACTTTTAAAGAATATTCCAGTGTAAATTCTTTTATAGTAACAGGATTATCATCATGAGCTGACATTAGTTAGAGAACCATTGGGAAACCTGTGAGTACTGGACAGATGTTTCGTCCTAGTTTGGGACTCTTCATCAGTACGCACCCGCCGGGATTCGAACCCGGTTATATATAGTTATTTGTTATATAGTTATTTTATAGTTATCTGTGTATTTTATACAGCCTTGTGTCAAGTGGATTTTGATCACGCATGACTTCTCATAAGATTTGTATTACTGGCTAATACAGAAATTTAGTTCATACATAATTACCACTATTATTATTATTATTCCCTTGGGTTCCTAGTGAAACATAGGGCTTCAACTGCACGTCTCTACTTGCTTGTGTCTGTCTTCTGCTGTACTTTTCACCTGCATCCATGTTAGCCCATACCGTCTCAACTCCTCTTCACACCATCTCCTCCATGTCACCCTTGCACTGACGTCCCACTGGCCTCTTCCCTTTCGCGTTCCGCTCGACCAATGGCCTGACGCGCCCATGATGTCACCCAGCGGCCTCCTCAGCGAGCGAGTGTCCAATCCATCTCCACTTTCTCCTGCATATTTGTTGGTTGGCGATTACTTCTTGTTTTGTTTGTTCGCAGCGATAGTTCCTTGTTGGTGATTCTTTCCGGCCCGGCCATCTGATTGATCTTCAGTATAGAGCCAGTGAAGACAGTTGTTGATAAAGGTAGCGTTTGCAACAGGCTGTTGAAAATGTTCTTTGTGACCCTCCCACCCGCCGTATAGAAGATCCGTATAGAAGAACTGACTTGTATTGACGCTTGTATTGAAAATCCGACCGAATTTTGTTGTTGATGGTGGCTGAGTGACGAAGATTTCCAGATTCGTTTCAGATCGATGAATGTTTGTTTTTCTCGTCTTCCCCATTCTCGCTCGATTTGACATTCTCGTCCGTTCCGACTTCCTGTAGTTGAGAAAATGCTCCTTAGATAAGTGAATGAAGTAACCTCTTTCAAATCCATCCCGTTGATGGTGATTCGGGAAATCTGATCACACCTCTCCTCATCAAGTTAACTTATGTGAAAAAAATTAAACATCATTTTACACATAAACAAAAATGATAGGAGATAAGGGAAGTAAGAAGGATGATTATTAGTTCGAATCTTCGTATGATAATTGGATAAAGTGTAACATTAATTTGTTTCTACACGCCACTTGATAAGTCCCTGTGTTAACTGCTTGTTATATTTATCTGACTTTGATAACCCATGTTATTAATATTACTTCGCATTGCCATCTCATCTTCTAAATCTCGTAGTATATTTATACTTATGCTAACTGACCTTCCCGTTTCTTCATTTGCATAAAAAATTGATTGAACAGTAAGAGATGTAATCAGGTCGTTCGAAATACATAGCCAGCAAATACATCATTAATTTTTTTTCATAAGAATTTCATCTTTTAGCAATACTGTCCAAATATAATAAAAGGACTAATTGTTCTAAATAACTATGCTGTTTCTATAAGAAGCAGAAGATAAACCTCTAGTAGAATTGTTTCAGGAAATAGGAATGAATGCCTTTTTTGCACACCTTCCTAATAGGATATATTTTGTGTGTGTTTTTTTTCTCATAAGCTTTTACTACTGTCACAGGGCTAAGTTCTTTATATTACAAAAACCTACTGTGTGCATAGAATTTCTCTTATTTTTTTTTACGGCAAATTTTTTGTAATTTATTATCTGTAGGCCACCAATTCCTTCTATATTTTCAGCACAATTTATGTCTTACATTTCATTGCCTAGAGATTATATTTAAAAGTGTTTCAGTTCAGTTAAGATAATTTACGCCTTCGAGGCAACTTAGTCAATAAAAAACTTGTTCACACAATTCGGGTTAGTTAATGTTTAAACTTACACATATTTATTTTATTCAGGAGATACTTATGTAAGTAATATTCATGGAAAAGAAGTATATAAACAGTGTTGCTTGATGTAGAAAAGCTTAAATAGTGCATCGAACTTATATTCACCTTTTTCAGAAATATCTTCCGTTTTCAGAAGCTGTTTCATTATAAAAAACCCTTTGTTATGCCACTAAATGTTTATTTTGTAGAATAAATATCTTCATACTAAATCATAGAATATAAATTTAAGGTGTAGTAGTTGCTTTGTATACAATTGGTGGATGGTGGCTAGCAGTGGAATCCAGGATGCGCATTTCGTCCTATTTGGGAATCGTCAGCTGAATGTACCTGCATTTCTCAGTGAGTGATGATGTTCCCACCGAGGCTCGAACCCAGTGCCCATAGTTTCAAACGCCAAAGCGTTATCCACTAGACCACTTGGGCCACGAGAGCCACCTCTTGTGCAACGGGTCATGTTAATTATTGAATTGAATTTTTGATTTTCCCGTCGATTGATTGGACCGAAGTGTTCGGTCTCAGGTTGGCATGTCGGCTTCTTGTGCAGATGCTTCAAATCCCCAGACATCGTCGAAGCATCTGCACAAGAAGCCGACATGTCAACCTGAGACCGAACACTTCGGTCCAATCAATCGACGGGAAAATCAAAAATTCAATAATTGTAGTAGTTGATGTTGCCATTCTTATCTATCTTAAATCCTTCACAACTGATCATCTGTGAAGTTTAAAAAAATGTTTGCATCCTTTTTGAAATTTATACTGTAGTGAGAGCTGGCTGTTAGTCGAAATTGGTGGACAGTAATTTACGTCGATGTTTATGTCCCCAATATTGGTCGTGAGAAAAATGAGAAGAAAGACTTGCGTAGGCGGATGCAGTTAGCATATAGATGGTCTGACATTCAAGAAACAATCACAAAGAGATGCAAGATTAACTTTCTGTGAGAAACAACGAATCAGAAGACTGTGTTTGTTTGCTTAAATAATCTATAATAATGTACATGAAAATCTATAAATACGTGTTGATTTCCTTAATAAAGGATCTGTTGCCTGGCCCTTGTCTTCTGTTGTTACAATACGATTTACTGACAAAATAATATTAAATACAGACTCATTATTAGGTTTTCTCTGCCTACCTACTACATTTCATACGTAAATTATCAAACAGTTATGTGGTGGATGGATGACTAGCTGCGGAACTCAGGATGCACATTTCGTCCTGCTCAGGATTTGCATCATCTGGATGCATTTGTAATCATTAAGTGCTGATGGTGTTCCTACTAAGAGTTGAACCCAGCTAGTTACCACCCCCTGAATAACAATGTGTTAATCCTCAGATATCGTTAAAGTGTCCAAACTGGGAGCGCCAACATATCAACGGACACTGAACATTTCGGTCTAGTGTAACCAATCAATGGGAAATACAAAATAATTGTCTATAGTTGGTTTTTAAGGGTTAGTTTTGTTTTTACGAGTTGATCATGGATTGATATCAGTTAGAGAACCATTGAAAACCCACCAGGGAGTACTGGACAGCTGCTGTTTCATTCTAATTTGGGAATGATCGGCAGTACGCACCCCAGTGGGGTTCGAACCCAGGAACTCCCGGTTACAAGGCAAGCTCGTATACCATTCAACCACTGGGACCACATTCAATGACTCATGAATTGTAACTTCTACCAATTCGTGATTTAGCTCGACCCCAACCAATGTCGTCGGTGGGACATCCATCTTCAAAATAAACCTAATACTTAACTTACTTTAAAATACAAAATAAACTTAAAAAACACTTATGTAAATGAAAGTATTCATTCGTTCAATTAAACGAAATTGTTTACACAAAATCTTTATTATTTATATTATTCTTTCACTTTGTTCTCAACTAATGTAATTCATTTACATTCTGATCAATTTTTTTTCTTTAACAAGTCAGTTTTGATTATTGTCCTTATTCATATTTGTTGTACACTACAAGCGAGTAATCATTCGGTTGTTTTAACCCGCGTTATAATAAATCATCATCTAGTTATTTTATCTTCACTAACCTTCTTCACTATATTTATTATAACCTGTACTCACTCCTTATCATCTTTAAAATTATTTTATTTATTTTTATTTTTGATTACAGCTTGATTCCACATTGTATTTTTGGTGCAAAAGTATGGAATTTTCAGCATGGATATCGGTAACCTAAATTCTGCATGCCGACCATAGATATCGGGTGTGCGTCGGCAGGGGATCGAACCTCGAACCATGTGCATGGTCGGTGAGAGTCCTAACCACTGTGCCACCGACTCACAATGTTCACAAATATTAACTTAAATATTCTCTCTGTCATGTATCTACATTTATCGTAGTTTCATAACACTGTTTTTCTCTACTTTTAAGTGAACTCTTCTAAAGTATCGTAATTTGTGAACAAATTCACATCAGTGTAAAGTTCTACGTGGTTAAGTTGATTGGTCAGTCAGTATTATAGTTTTTGAATGACGTTGGGAGCTGTCTGTAGGTGGTATATTGAAACTAAAATAGTGAAATTTTACCGGAAAACTAATTAACTGGTAATAACTATAATGGCGTGCGTCGGTGGCACAGCGGTTAAGACACTCGCCAACTATACACATGGTCCGGGGTTCGATCCCCGGCCGACTCACTCCTTTACCTCGCTTAACTAGTAATAATGCTGGTAAGGAGGAAAGGTCGGACATGAGGCTAGCAACCCCATCCTGTAAAATTAAACACTGCTACAGAAACTTTAAGCCACTAACTTAAGGCCCTATGTTCCACTGGGAACGTGAAGGAAATAAAAAAGAACTATAATGGCACATCTATAAGGGAAAATAGATTTAGATTTACTCCCCACTAGTTCAAACTGGAGCAGGTTAACGAGTAAGTCACAGCTGTAAGTGCAGAAAAGTCTCAAAATAAAATGTTAAGATTTTGGTATGCTAACTTTAATGATTTTCAACATAACGTTTTACCTTTTTGTTTAATAAATATGATATTGAGGTAGGTCTCTGTGAGGAGTGAATATAATGCTTTCAGTATGGTGATTTCATCAAAGTTTTTTTTCACTTGTAAAATTAGTTTTTTAAGTTCTATGTTTACTTGTGTAAACAGTATCACTGCACATCTATCTGTTATTGTTGTTTTGTTTCTTTTTTACTGTCAAATGTACAGGGACTAGAAGTTGCTGAACCTGATGCATTTTCATTTACTGGAAACAGTAGTCGACTAACATACAGAAAGTCGAATTCCGGCGGAAAACTTTTACAAAGAAATAAATCGCTCAATATTTCGAGTAGTTTAGGAGAACTGCATAATTCAGATGTAGAAATAACACCAAAACGGTAAGTGTTTGTTTTGCCTTTATTATTTTTTTTATTCTGTTCCTAATAGCCAATAACTATAATTCAATATTATCTCAAGACCATTCTCTGTTTGTTTAGTTGGAATATATGAATATATATCCAGTATAATAGTTTTTAACACTTGACTGATTTCAAGATACCTGTCATCTACCAGCCTATCTCTTTTGAATAATATTTAAAGCCCAGAAGTCATTGATTCCTTTATTCCGAACTAACTCAAAATGCATACAACTAAGCAAAATCAATAGATTTGATTATAACAAAGGATGGATTTATATGAAATGAGACTATAACCTCAGTTTTGTCTATACCACAAGTATTATAACACAATATCACTGTTTTATGACTGCAATAATAATACTAGATATGGTCATATTAATGTTATTCTTACACTAATAAAGACACACAAGGCTGACTGAGAAAAGGCAGCGATGAATTTACCTATGAAAGAAACAATATCACTCAAAACTACAGCTAATTATATAGATATTTTACTGAAGTAATAAATAACTGGTTCAACATATGAGTCATTGATGAAATAGAGAAATACTTATTTACCACTCTAACATTAAGCGCTGTTTGTAATTTGTGAAGTAAACTAAAGGAAAGACTCTAGGTGGTGGTAACTGATGAAATACGATTCGTCGTTCCCCGGTTTTAACATCGCCAAACAGGTATGGCAATAGATAATTGCCTGTTGCCAGTTTATCCACTTGTGTATAATATGTAACCCTAGCCATTTTCACTTTGCAGTGTAACTTTTCCTATCCATGTATGTTAAGAATTCTATTTTCAAATGAAGCTATTCACTTCAAAAATTCAAACTAATTTAGATATAAAATGATGTGTTTTAGGTAATTCTGCTGTACTTTTAAAAAGGGCAACAGAAATGTCTAACTAGTGAAATATATTTCAATTTTTTTTTACAGTGTCCTTATTTCCCCATAGTAAATGATTCCACGTGATGCACGCAATTTAAGTTTAACTTGTCTACCTATCAACTGCATAGTTCTAAGTTTATAGGTATTCTCGTCAAATGTTGTCTTGTCTCCTTCCTTAACCAATATTGAAAATCTACTTTATGAATAATTTATAAGAGGAGGAGAGAGTATATTCCTTTTTTTCTATATTTTATGTATGCAGTAACTTAACAACAGTCTAGTATATTTCTCTAGGAAAATGTAGTGGATAAGTGAATATTTCTTTTAGTTTCTCCTATGTCAGATCTCGAAAGTGGGTAAAAAAGTATTTTGTACAGGTTAGGCTTTATGACGAGCCAATTCATAGTTGAAGAAGTTGTACTACTGAACAGTTTCCTCAAGGCACATAGATTTTAAACCTAAAATACCTAAAAGAGTAGTCATGATTTTGTTTTTAGACAGAATATCTAATTATCTGAGGAAATAATCGATTCTATTTTATGTGTTGGATTAGGCATTAATTCTAAGTTTTGGTAATCTTTCATATATGCATCTACTTTTAAATAGACTTGTCTTGAATGTGCACTAGTGTACAAGTTTAGAAAATTGTGACGATAAGTTATGCTCTTTTTCAGATCGTGGTAAACACCCATATGGACATTAGAAAGAAGAGAACACGAAGTTCAACAAACAGATATCTTTTCGGCGATTTCATTGTCAAAAGCTGTACAATCACATTTATAAAGCTTATTTTACATGGATACAATTATTATTATTTGTTTAATTCCACATAGTAACGAAGGTGACAATAATTTTCAACTTGATATGAAAGTTTGAAGGTATGATTATAGATTACAAAGGGCTTAGAGAGACAAGATTGTATAGGATTGGAAAATAGTTACAACGTTTGCAAAATTTTGATTTCAGTTTGTTTCCATGCTCATTTTGTTCACACCTGTAATTCATTTTATCCCTGCGTTTCTAAGCCTCTTGTAATTCATATCAAGTCGAAAATAATTATCACCTTTTATTCGAATTTAAAATTATTTCTCCACAGTTATCAAATATTATTTTTGCCTACGTTGTAACTATTTTCCAATCCTAAACAATCTTGTCTCTCTAAGCCCTTTGTAATCTATATTCATACCTTCAAACTTTCATATCAAGTTGAAAATTATTGTCACCTTCGTTACTATGTGGAATTAAACAAATAATAATAATTGTATCCATGTAAAATAAGCTTTATAAATGTGATTGTACAGCTTTTGACAATGAAATCGCCGAAAAGATATCTGTTTGTTGAACTTCGTGTTCTCTTCTTTCTAATTTATGCTCTGTTGATGTAAATATCTTTCATGGCTTTATTGCGAAAGACATATATATATATATATATATATATATATATATATAATGGTTGGGAGAGGGTGAAATAAGTCGGTAATTTTGGTAGCTTCTATATCCAGTTGTGCAGTGTGACCTTAGGTTTCCTTATCCCCCATGGTCGATTTCTTTTTTTATTTTTAATTAGAAGTATTTTTATTCACAAGAGGAAGACAGTCATCAATGTGCTAAACGTAACATTGTTGAATTTTTAAACCATACCATCTCATTTCATATCACTAAAAGTACTTATCATGCTTGATTAACATTTGATACAATTTGTAAATTGTGTTTTTTTTTCTGTTATGTAAACATCACTTAACACACACTTGAGTTTTAAAATAAGCAATACGCGCGCGCACACACACACACACATTTCTTCTCATTACGCATAACATTCTAAACGCTAAATATCATAGCTTTTTAAGATAGCTATTAATTTTTGTAACTTTATTATTATTATTATTATCCAAAAAGCATAGAGGATAGTTCTATTTCATCGGTTGGTTGGAAAGAGAATTTTACAGGATTTTTTTTTTGAGACGTTTGTGTTCTAAATTGATAAAGAGAATTTGAAGTTGAAGTCCATAAATTTAGAAGCAAACAAAATTGTGAACACAATGTCATATTCAAAAAAAGTTCAACTTTATATATATATATATATATATATATATATATATATATATCAGTTGAAAAATGATTACCCAAAGATTGTTTTTTCATATCATAAAACGTAACTATAAGTGACTTTTATGCCTTGTTATTGAGTAAAATGTTTTTTATGCCGTCAGAGAAAAGTCAGTATATGAAAAAGAAACAGTTTATTCTGTATATATGATATGTTTATATATCTCAATGAGTACTTACTGCATAAACTAACAGAAACACCAATCATTTACATAATTATTAAATTAAATAAATCCTAGAACTGAAAGTGAATAAAAAATGTCATTAAAAGACAATTATTATCAAGATAGTTTAGTGAGCAGCGCTTTTTGCTTAACGGCAAACATATGTAAGCATAAAAAAGAATACATGGTCTTATATAGAGCAATAGGTATTTGAAATAAATCTAAGACATAGTCAGTCCAAGCATGGCACATTATACCATATATCATTTTGCATTCCAGTTAAATTGCCGATTGACTCAAAAAACACTGTGGTGATGACGCTTCACTTCTTTTCATTCACTAATAACTTTAACCGTTTCCAAAAGTTCATTTTTACGGTTTATTTTGAAAGATATACCTTTGGAAAATATTATATTTTGTAATAACACAGTGAAATTTAAAACAATGCATACAAGCGGATAATATCGTTTTCAATTACACCTCGTCGTGTTCTACTCTATTATGCGTAGCTTTTCAAACAAATTATAAATGTAGACCAGTCACAGTGATTTATAAATAGGATGATAAGACTATGTATACATACAGATTGTTCAGTGAATAGTAGTCACCATAATTCTGTTAATAACAAGGATGAAAAGTGGTGTGATCTGTGAAAATAAGAATAGTGGAGAACGGTATGATTCTAGTACGAACTTCTTCCGTACGAAATCTTGAAAGTAAGTCACTGGAAAATGTCATCAATAAGGTTGGCTATTCATTAAGGTTATGTCAATAACACATAATTATTGGTGAAAATGTGGATAAAAATAAATTATTGGTGAAATTTAATAGTATTTACTCCTTGCTTACTTTCACTTTTAAAGAGGAGCAGCAGGAAAACATACTGAATTTTCTAGATGTCTTGCTAAGTAGGCAAGATGACAAGTCATTTGGGAGATTTCATACATTTATTCCCCTTAATGAATTGGAATAAAGCAAGAACAACAGTGGTTTGTGCAGAATAATGTGGTACCATCATTTATTTCGTTGGCTTCTCATCAGCTGCTTACAGCTTAAATAAATTATGAGGTTTAAGTACAGACATGTTTTAACATATTTGCAAATTTTACATGTTGTCAGTTGACAGAAAATTCCACAATTAATAAACAGTGCTCAGAAGTTTGCGCTTATATAGTTTTCACACAGGCAGTTCAGGTTAAAACAAAATAAATGTATGCAGAAAATGGTAAAGGAGTTACGTAATAAAGATGAGATGTGCGTTTGATGCATAGTGACTAGTAAGTTTGGTAACAATGTGCTGAGTTGAGCTCAAATCATACAAACAAAAGACAAGCAAAATTACAGATTATGAAAGGGAGGGTGAGGTTAAAGACAAAGATTACGTAATCAGATGAGAGAAAAAAAGGCATCCAGTTACCAAGGCAAGGAAAGACTAATAACTGCTTCTTTCTGAACACATAGATCTGGTTTCAAGCGTTTGGTAGAAATCGCTTCAGCAAACTTAAGGAGAATTGAGCTCTTTTGCCTATTGATAATTTCGAACGACTTTCCGACGTCCACCTCATGACCCGTGTCGAGGAGATGCCTGGCGATGGCACTGTTTAAAGCATTTGTTCCCTTTAGACGTAAGCTTTTTCGTACGTGTTCAGAAAATCGTAGATATGCTCTTCTTTTTGTTCTTCCAATGTAACTGCTCCCGCAGATACACATAAATTTGTATATACAGTTGGAGGTAACATGAGAAGGATATCTATCGATTTTCGATTGCACCAAAGAGCAAGTTGTTCGATAGACGGGAACGAGCTTGGCTGCAGGATAGGCTATGGCTAGTCATGTACTCAGCCTTCTGTTGATCATCGCTGCAATGTTTTCACCTATATAGTCAAGCTGACCGTAGACTGGCTTTTTAGCCACTGTGATTTGTTTTACATTTGTGACCTCAGATATTCCATACTTGTTGATGAACTTTTGAGGATACCCATTTCTCTTCAATATCTTTTCAAAGAAACTCAAACTCCTCCTCTAGTTTCTCTATAGAGCATATTCTCCTCGCCCTATAGTACAGAGTCTTGACTAGACCACGTTTAAAGCTATTTGGACAAAAGCTATTAAAATGCAAGTATTGTCCTTTCCATATGGGCTTTCGATAAATTGACTTTTGAAGACTACCGTCTTCTAGGCGTTCCATGGCGATGTCGAGGAAGTGAAACTTTCCGTCACTTTCATGTTCCATAGTGAACTCAATATTGGCGTGTGCACCATTGAATAATCTTAGTAAGTGTAAAGCATGACTTTCATTTTTGCACACTATAAATGTGTCATCAACATGAGGACAGTAGGAAGATGTTTCGTCGACTGCATGTTTCAACTTTGTTCTTTCAAGGTTTGACATGAATATATCTGCTAGAACAGGGCTAAGTGGACTGCCCATAGCTACACCATCTATTTGGCGGTAAAACGTGTTGTCAAATTGGAATTGCACATCCATGGTACACATAAGCAGTAGGCGTTTGAATTCCGATTCTGGGAGTGGGAGAAGATCGGACTGCTGACAAATGATCTCAATAGTTTCATTGATTGGAATCATTGTGAATAGGGAGGTTACAACAAATCACACCATGAATTTATTTAGAACGTTCATGTGGTTCACACTTTCAGAGAAATTGAAATGAGTCTTTCACCGTGTGCACGCCCAGCCGTTGACGAATAGGTTTCAACTTCTCCGCAAGCCAACGTGCCACCTTATGTTCGGGCGAGTTGATCATCGAAGGAATGGGTCTCAGGGATATTTGTTCTTTGTGTATCTTCGGAACGCCATAAATGTGTGGCAAGCGGGACCCTCGGGGTTTCAAGTCATTGTACGTGTTGTTGTCAATCAATTTCTTCTTTAGGAGATCTCTCAAGGCGTTTGTGATACGTTTTTCGACAGCATCTGTCTTATCTTTCTGGCAACTGTCAACTTTAAACCTCAACGGGTCATTTAACACAGCTTTCATCTTTGCGATGTAGTCCTCTTTGTCCATCAGCACCACACCTGAGCCTTTGTCAGGTCTCAATATAACAATTTTGTCATTATTCTTGAGAGCTTTCAATGCTCTTAGATGCTCTTCAGAAAGGACTTTGGAATATGACGTTGGAGAAATGAGGTATTGATTTGCAACGTCGACGAGCTTCGATTTGAACCAGCTCCTCTTGTCATCATCAACTGGAGTGAGGTCACTCAACTGATAGAATAAGTTTTCGAATTGAACTGCGACATCAGTTCTTTCGACAAACTTATTTGGGATGTGAAAGTTAAATCCAAGAGAAAGTGCTTCCATTTCTATGCGATTTAACTTCAGACTCGACAGATTACAGATAAACTCCTCAGGATTTTCTGGGAGAGGCTTGTACAGCGAAAAATACACTCACAGGCTAATACACACAAACACACACTTTACTATGAAATAACTTTATTTAATGTAGGCGTTTAGTGTGATACAGTATTATTTTCAGATTTCCTTTCGAGCACAATTTATTGGTCATAATCATATGAAGGCGTTGGTATAACGATAGAACACAAGGAAACGTTTTTCACTAATGTACAATTTAGTGGTAACTTATCAAGTGTCATTCTTACAGCCAGACTGAATTAAGTGTCAAGATTTGACCGACAATAGGCTCCGAGTGAAAAATTGATGTGTATTTAAATTGTTTACAAAAATCTCAGCGAAATTGAAAAAATCCCAACCTTCCCTTCCATCATTAGACCGCTCCAAACTTCTTCAGGGTAATAATCAAAACTAAAACATAAAAAGACAAAATGCTCTCCTTTATATTATACATTTGGAGCAGTTTGATGAAAGAAAGAAAGGCTGGAAACATTCAATTTCGGTGAAAATTTTATGGATATAATATTCTACACATGTTTACATATATGATGTTTTGATATCTTCTGTCATAATTCCCAAAAATGCAAAAGCATTAAGTGTCACTGACTCTAAGATTGTATTATTGTTCTAGGAAACATTTAATAAATAATATTTATATTTCAGGTTTATGGTGATGTGTATGACTTAATGTTAGTCAGATTTTTTAAATTTCCCCACAAGAAGTTCTGACTTGGTAGCATCTACTGTGGTAGGTATGTTGACAGTTACTCTCTCATAGTATTGGGTAGCAGTAACGCCATATTTTGAATCAATAAAAGTTAGAATATATAGTGGGCTGGGTAACTAATCCAGTGGCTGAGTGGTGGCGCGTGCACATCTTGGAATCATGAGTGGTATAGGTTCAACCCCTGCAGCAGTCGTTAACATCCTCCACCATTGAGTTTTAAACTACAACCGAATAGCTGTTCGATGCCTTCTGATTCTGAGTGTTCTCCAACCAATATCGGCTGGTGACGAAATCTACCTTGAAATTATTAATTGATGTAGATAGCCACATTTCAGGATAGAAGTGTCCCATAACAAACTAGAATTCCCCTCTAAGAAAAAGCAGAAGTAAACCTGTTGTTTGGGCGTTTATTTACGCTATTACTTTAATTCTTATTGTCAAAGATTATTTCAGTGAGCCCAAATAAAACGTATGCTTGTTTCATTTAATTAATTAATTAATTTTAAACAGCTTGGAATAAGGCGTTTTTTCTTCATTTTCTTTGCATATCCTTATTTCTAAGCCAAATAAATTTCCTCTTTCTGTGTCAACTGGTGTTTACCTATTCATCTATGCGAATTCATTAGTGTATTTCTGCCTTTTTTGCCGACAAAAATATATACACATCGTTAGTTTGAGTCTTGTTTGTGATGTTTTTATTGCGATACACATTGTGATAAGTCAGTTTTACGTTGTCATATGTATCATGTCAAATAGTCTTGTCATATTATTATTATTATTATTACTATTATGGTGGTTGGTTGGGTGGGTTAAACATGACTGTGGAAATTCAGTACAAGAGTGTTCATTTGAACAAGACCAACAGGGAGGAGATTTAACATATCGATTTACTTACTAGTAGTAGTAGTTTTCACGTCAGTGTGTGACGCGATCTGCCTTTTTTTAGTTAGTCAATCATGTGATCTAAAGCGAAATGTGCACATTTGGCCGATAGAACTGTTTTGAATATATTATCATGTTTGTTTTTTAAAGCAAAGTAGTATTAGTAGTAGTAAAACAAATGTTTTGTTTTTTCATTTGTCATCTGACCGAAATTATCTAGGTCTGTGCTGATACCATCCCGCCTACACCAACATTTAACACGTTGTTGTTATTCTAGAAGACGTTAATTATGAAATGGTACAGTATTACTATTATTCAAACCCTTGTCAATCAGAGGATAAATCATTTTATCCGTGTTTTGGATATTCAAAAATGAAAGTATGAATTAAAAAATGTAAGTGTATTTTGTAGTTTGTTAGTGTTTTCACTTGTAATATGCTTGCGTTTATTCTCATTTTTATTTTATTTACATTGACTACACATAATAGTTCTACCAAAGCTTCCACCAATACTAGTTAAAGTCTGATTATAACTTAGTGAATAATTTGTTTATTGACATAAGGATAAAACTTGTGGCACTGTGGTAGAGTATAACTCCATTATGGATAAAATTTTATTTTGATAAAGTCATACAGTGTTATGCAGTAATATTAACTGATGACCACGTTTCGAGCACAATTTATTACTGCTCATAATCATATCAAGGTAGTCACATAACCTTTTTGCTTCGTTTAAATACATGAGTAAACACTGATTAGATATTTGAATAAAATCAGTATAAGACTTGCGTGAAACAGAAAAGAAGATAAAATATATTCGGAAATAGTATTAGTATTATCAATAAAATACAATAGGATGGGAAATAAGACAAGTGTTGTTAATCAACGAGATGGGAAATAAGATGTTTTTATAGTAAAATCAAAAACTTGTTAGAATGTTATAATGTGAATTGAATACATTTTAACATTATTCGTTATTCTTTGATTTGACTGGTAACAGTATCTTCCATATCTCTAGAATTTGCGTTGGATGTGTAGACTGGATGAACAAAGATTCAGTAATCTCTCTCTCTCTCTCAACATACTAATAATACCTTTTAGTATTTTGACTCTGTCCAACCTTTTGTGTATTATTATTATTATTATATCCTTTAATTCCTAGAGGAACATAGGGCTTCAGCTGCGCGTCTCCATTGCCTTCGGTTTTCTGCCAACTTTTTCACCTCGCTCCAAGTCTGCCCACACCCTTTCATCTCCTCTTCACATGACCTCCTCCAAGTCACCCTTGCACTGACGACCAACTCGCCGCTTCCCTTTCGGGTTCCACTCGAGCGATAGCTTGTCTAATGATGTCACTTGGTTGTTTGTTTCCTCAGAGTATGGCCAATCCATCTAGCTGCATTTCTTCCTGCCTATTTGTTTCACAATCGGTTCCTGCACTGTTGGTTCGCTCATTGCCAGAGATCCCTGTTGCTGATCTTTTCTGGCCAGCCATCTGATCTTGAGTATTGAGAGAAGAAAAACTGTTAATGAAGGTCTGAAGTTTGTTGTAGATGCTCTTTATGACTCGCCAAGTCTCTGATCCGTATAGTGAGTAGCACTGACTGACTTCATATTGGAGTTGGAAATCCGGATCTTATTTTTGATGCTGAGTGCAGCGCAATTGCTGAGTTTTTTCCTAAACTACTTATCTTCGTGGGATCATTCATTTTAAACTTAGCTAAATTCTTATGTTCTGATAATCTCACTAATCCTGATCAACTACTTTGACCTATGTAGTTAACTTAACTCACAGTCACATTGCAAGATATTTTGTAAATTATATTATTTTGTCTAATTGGGTCAACAAGGTCCTTTAACCTACACACCTTGTCCTATCTGAGTGAGTTTGTAGGTTTGAATGCCACCATAACTCTTGCTTTATTACAAAATCCTCCGTGGGCTTTCAGATGACACGTCCTTATATGTCATCAGTAAATATTACTGTATAACACTGTATGACTTCGTCAAAATAGAATTTTTTATCCATAAGGGAATTATTTATTTGTTTGTTTAGGTTTTAGGACTACTTTATTAACTACTTTGAAATTTACCATCCAATGAGTAATATGAATCCTATTGCTTACACTACATTTATTCTACATCTATCTCCCTATATGTTTATGATTTCACGTTTGTCTAAATACAATGTAAACTACGTTCAGATTTTTTATCACTGAGTAATTTGATGATGTACCTGTGCTGGCGGCGGCATAAGGCAGTTTCTTAAGTCAACCTATCTAAATTGTGGTTCACTCCTAATCAAGTGGCTGAATATCCTAGAAGCATGTTGAACATCGTCAGCCATGTACCAACAACTAGCAGCTATTTAAGAAGAAAATAAAAGACAAATTCATCGAAGAAAATTTTCTTTATCGACGAAATCATCTTCAGAGGCTGTACAGTCGTGTTTATTTTTACCAAAAATGTATAGTAGTCTATTATTGAGTAATAGGGGGGGGGTGACATAATTAGTATAATTACTCGGAAGTGGCTTTAGAAGTAAAAAACAAAATAACAAAATAAAAATACCACGTAATTTACAACTTTTATTTTTTTACTTCTAAAGTCACTTCCGAGTAATTGTATCAATTATGTCACCCCCCCCCCCTATTACTCAATAATAGACTACTATACATTTTTGGTAAATATAAATACATCTGTACAGCCTCTGAAGATGATTTTGTCTTTTATTTTCTTCATGACTCAATGGATATTTTCGGTGATTTGACGCAGAGAAAGAATCCTGTATCAGTTATTTCTTTGTGGAATACAATGAATAGTCTGGAATGGTTTTTTATGTCATCCTAACTAAATGTCTGCACTTTTCTGTATATTGTTTCACTCTTCCATGACTATTTTGTGGTAAGAAGTCCAGTTAGCTTCGCTCTTCCCATCCTCCCTACTTGAGCCTAGGTAACCGAATTCCAACCAACCAATCAACCCAGTAATATGGCCAAAAGTGAATCATGAATGCGTTAAAAAGGCGTTAAGTGCAGCAACATCTATAGTACTCAATGATGGTGGTACAATCAACACTATTTTTTTTTGTAAAAGATAAAAGTATTTCCAACAATAAGGGAATAAATATCTGTATTTATTCCCCTTGATGAATTGGAATAAAGCAAGAACAACAGTGGTTTGTGCAGAATAATATGGTACCATCATTTATTTCGTTGGCTTCTCATCAGCTGCTTACAGTCTAAATAAATTATGAGGTTTAAGTACAGACATGTTTTAACATACTCGCAAATTTTACATGTTGTCAGTTGACAGAAAATTCCACAATTAGTAAACAGTGTTTAGAAAATTGCGCTTATATAGTTTTCCCGTCCATCGAACAACATGCTCTTTGGTGCAGTCGATAGATACCCTTCTCATGTTAACTCCAACTGTGTATAGAAATCTACGTGTATCTGTGGGAGCAGCTGCATTGGTAAGACATAAAGAAGGGCACACCTCCGATTTTTTGAACATGTGCAGAAAAGCCTACGTCTCAAGGGAACAAACTCTTATAGTAGCGCTATTACCAGACATCTCCTAGACACAGGTCATGAGGTGGAAATCAAGAAATTCTTCAAAATGGACAAAGGAGTTCCATTCTCCTCAAGTTTTCCGAAGCAATTTCTATTAAACGCTTGAAACCAGATCTATGTGTTCAGAAAGAAGCAGTTATTAGTCTTTCCTTACCCTGGTAACTGGATGCCTTTTTTTCTCCCATCTGATTACGTAATCTTTGTCTTTAACCTCACGCTCCTTGTATAATCTTTAGTTTTGCTTGTCTCTTGTTCCTATGATTTGAGCTCAACTCAGTACATTGTTACCTAACTTACTAGTCACTATGCATCTAACGCACACCTCATCTTTATTACGTAACTCCTTTACCATTTTCTGCATACATTTAATTTGTTTAAACTTGAACTGCCTGTGTGAAAACTATATAAGCGCAATGTTCTGAGCACTGTTTACTAATTGTGGAATTTTCTGTCAACTGACAACATGTAAAATTTGCGAGTATGTTAAAACATGTCTGTACTTAAACCTCATAATTTATTTAGGCTGTAAGCAGCTGATGAGAAGCCAACGAAATAAATGATGGTACCATATTATTCTGCACAAACCACTGTAGTTCTTGCTTTATTCAAATATAAACAACAAAGAGATTATTCTGTTACGCCCGGATAAAGGTGGGGGAATCGTAGTCATGAATCGTGAAGACTACGTAAGTAAAATGCTGACCATCCTATCCGACGAATCTAAATTCATAAAACCAGCAAAGGAAAAGAACATGACGGAACAAACTGAACAAAAACTAACGAACCTTCTCCGAAAACTAAAGACTGAATCATTCATCGATCTCGAAACCTTCGAATCGTTGAAACCGTCGGGCTCAAATATACCCCGGCTATATGGACTACCAAAAGTGCACAAGAAAAACGTACCTCTTCGACCCATTCTCGATATGACTAATTCACCTTATCACAGTACCGCACAATGGCTAGTAAACATACTAGAACCAGTCAGAAAGCAAATCTCCCGCCACTCACTTCGAGACTCCTTCGATTTTGTCAATTCCATTGAAAACGTCAGCGTTTCCAATCAAACCATGTTCTCACTAGATGTGGTATCACTGTTTACAAACGTCCCACTAACCGAAACAATATGCTATATATGTGAATATATTGATTCAAAGGAGATGAACATTGGTATCCCCACTGACTATTTGAAGGAACTCCTATTAAGATGTACTCTAAACGTCCAATTCACTTTCAATAATGAAATATATAGACAAAAAGATGGTATAGCTATGGGCTCACCACTCGGCCCGCTGCTTGCAGATATTTTCATGTCAAAACTAGAAAATACACACCTAAAGAAGATAATAGATAACTTCGGATTCTACAAGAGATACGTGGACGATACTTTTATTATCGCCAATAATGAGGAAAATTTGGAGAACATATTGGACTTCTTCAACAGTTGCCATCCAGCAATCCAGTTCACACTAGAGAAGGAGTCCAACGCAACAATATCTTTTCTGGACGTGCAACTAGCAAGACGCGAACAAGATGGGACACTCAAAAGATCCATTCACAGAAAACCGACATGGAATGGACAACTCATCAGCTTTCACAGTTGGGTGCCTATATATACAAAACGAAATCTGATCCGCTCACTGACTCACAGAATCCACAACATTTGCAGTCCGGAAACTATAGAAGAAGAGCTGAAGACCCTGAAAAGAATCCTTCTTGAAAACGGTTACCCGGAACGTTTCATCACAAAAGCTATGAAGCCGAAAACACAAAAACCATCCATGCTTACTGCTCCCAAGAAACTTCTCTATTTGAATCTACAATTCAACGGAGATTCTTCAGCAGAAATACTTAGAAACCGCCTGTGCCGTTCACTGAAGAAAACCTTCTTCGCAGCGGAACTCAGACTAACTTTCTCTACGAAACCAATGATTCGCACGAACGTGAAGGATAAGCTTCCACTGGGGGCCTCATCAATGTGCATCTACCAATTCACCTGCTCATGTGGAGCTAGGTATGTCGGCCGTACCCAGCGTTTGCTATCCAAACGAATCAGCGAACACTTACCTTCATGGTTTTATAAAGGAGAAAGAAGATCCCCCCGCCACAGCTCTATCCTAGAACACTTGATCGAATCCGGACACCAAGCAAACCCACAAAACAACTTCTCAGTTATCTACACAATACGTGGAAATCTTGCCAAAAGAGTACGAATTAAACTTCTTCAAACTGCAGAAGCAATGGCAATTCACATATTGAATCCTGAACTCTGCATACAAAAGAAGTTTGTTCAGTCACTAAATCTACAATGGTCCTGATCTATCTTAACACCAAATACGTAATTTTGTCTTACCTCTTTCTTCTTTGTTTGTCTATTTCTTAATTGCATTATTTTCTACCCCCACCCTCTATTAAATCTCTACGCTCATGACGACTGTTGCTAACTCGATTTTCGTTTATTTTTAAGTGAATTCTACTCAGCTTATTAACTTAACTCTCATTCATTTTCAAGTGAATTCTACTCAGATTATTAACTTGACTCTCATTCATTTTTTCATTGAACCCTACCAATTAGATTACGTCACCCAACCTACTTTTGTAACTTTATTTTAGTTTCTAACCGATTAACGCCTTCAAAATTACGTAATCTGTTTGTCAAAAACTAACAATTGCATTAACACATCTTTGGAAATATTCCTTTTGTTGCCAAGACAAATTACTATAAATTTGCGATTTGTACAGCTTGAGAATGATATCGCCGAAAAGAGTAACTCTTTGCTGAACACTTTTTCTTTTCTATGACTGAATGGGAATTTTCAAGCTTATTCAAATATCTCAATATGTAAGGGTAACATTGAAGTAACTTCGAACAAACAGGCGTCGTAGACCACGAAGCACAATACGCCTTCACTCTGTAACTTTAGTCAGAGTAAAAGAGCACTACAAAAATAGGTGAAATAACAAGTTACAAAATGCAAATACGAAGATTATTTATCAGAAACGGGAAAAGTTGCATAAATGCTGTGAAAAAATTAATCAACGACAAATCCATGTGAATAAGACAATAATGTCATATGTACATATTAAAGAACAAAATGTCACTAAAAATATAGTTTCAAAGATGAATAATATATACAAGACGAATTTTCTCAATACATTTTGTAGCTAATATACACACAATAGATTTTATTTTATTAATTAGATCACAAGACTTTAAAGTAATCCTAGTGCATTTTTATGTACCACAAAGAATAAGTCTAAAAATTGCGCTCTTCATCATGCCTCTATTAGCATTTCTACTTTTTACAGTTGTTGTATATCATGTCGATCAAACCCTGAATAATAATAATAATAAAGCAGTGGTATTTATGCATATTCTCGTTGAAAATGATACACTTGTAACCACTAAATTAACGATGATGCGTACTTATGATATGTACATAAATTTTCTACTATTATTACAGCTGTAGTTATTGTGCTTGCTGTTCTCAATGACACTTGGAAAAATCTGAATAAAGAGTTCTTTATTCAGTTTTCCGGTATCGTTTATAACACAATTATCATTAATCATAATGAAATGGTTAATAATATATAATATTACCGTCATTGTTTCTTTGCGACACTCATTTCATTAGGTGCTTTTTTCAATGCAGTCGTATTGCTTATTTATTATTTATTAGTCTGAAAACTATTGCAGTATTCAGTATTTATGCAAAACCAATAAGCTGATGAAATGAGTGTACTGTGTGTGTATAAATATACATATACTGCATGAAGAGATATACAGACGGCGGTTAAACGTGACTGAACCGGCGACAAGAAAACAGAAAATTTCAGGCATTAAAACCCATTTATTTCAGAATGTACAGTTATGGAAGAAGATATACTATTGAAATGTATACACCAGTGTCTGTCATACATAATCCAGTGTAGAATCCTCAAGTGCTTGAATCAGAAGATTTGTTTAATTTTTTTTCCAAATTATCACATGAAACAGGATGCAAACACTGTTGTCTGCCTTAGTGTTTAAGGAGAGCTTCAGCTTTTTAGCGCTAAATATTGGTTATTTACCTTCAGATTCTTTTTAAGGAGTTTAAATTAAAACTTGCATGAGCTAGTAACTCTCTCAGATTGACTGAAATATGCTGAAATCCTAACCACAGGTATATAACTGGTAGAATGCAAATAAAGTTTAAAGTTTACTGATTTGGAATAAAGCTATTATCTTATCTTATCTTAAAAAAAATAAAAGTTTTCAACTTGGTAATATATGTTTAATTGAATTTTAGATTTTCCCGTCGATTGATTGGACCGAAGTGCTCGGATGTTGGTGGATGGTGACCCATCCACCGAGCACTTCGGTCCAATCAATCGACGGGAAAATCTAAAATTCAATTAAATCAATATAACCCGTTGCAAAAAGAGGTGGCTCTCGTGGCCCAAGTGGTGTAGTGGATACCGCTTTGGCATTTGAAACTATGGGCACTGGGTTCCAGCCTCGGTATGAATATCATCACTCACTGAGAAATGCAGGTACATCCAGTTGACGAGTCCCAAATGGGACGAAATGCGCACCCTGGATTCCACTGCCAGTCACCATCCACCGATTAAATAATAATCGGTAATATATGATCGAAAACTCTCATAATGCGATACCCGTGCTAACGTTTTCTTGTAATGCTAAAGATAAAAAAGATACTTAGTAATACAGACTGTTATTTCACCTGTACGCAGGGTCATTCATTCATATATATCATGAATATAATTAATGAATACATTCATACCCTTTTACAATAAGTGTGGAAGAAAATAACATTTTCGCCAATATCAGTGAGAATTACCTAGGAATTCTGCAGGTAATATTATCTGTTCACACTTTCATATCATCTATGGGACATCTATCAGTCCTTTATTCTCAGTAGAAAATTTAGATCACTTCATTGGTACCAGAAATAAAATTTTTCCCTGTGTTTTATGAAGCGCACAGCTATTGATTTTATTCACATTTTATTCATTTATTCAGTTTTATTTCAACAGCAGTACGACAACAGCACATGTCAAGTGATTCACAACGGAAAACTCAGTGAGGCGTTTGGAGTAAACACAAGAGTCAGACAAGGGTGGTTATTATCACCCACGATGATATTCCTAATTGTGGTGGACTGGATTATGCGTCAGACAGTGAGTGGGTAACAAGAAGACAGGGATATCCTCGACCTACGCGAAGAACCTAGAAGACATGGATTTCGCGCGTGGATGATTTATGTTTGATGTCACACAAAATCGAAGACTTACGAGCGAAAACCGACAAACTGGTCGAAGAAGCAGCCGGCGAAGACAGGACTCCAGGTGAACATAGAAAGACGGAGGTCATGAAAATAACCAACCAACCAACCAACAACAACAGCAACAACATCCAGCGCCAATCACCATCAACAGGAGGGATTTGAAAGAGGTTACTTCGTTCACTTATCTAGGGAGCATTTTCTCAACTACAGGAAGTCGGAACGGACGAGAATGTCAAATCGAGCGAGAATGGGGAAGACGAGAAAAACAATCATTCATCGATCTGAAACGAATCTGGAAATCTTCGTCACTCAGCCACCATCAACAACAAAATTCGGTCGGATTTTCAATACAAGCGTCAATACAAGTCAGTTCTTCTATACAGATCAGAAACTTGGCGGGTGGGAGGGTCACAAAGAACATTTCCAACAGCCTGTTGCAAACGCTACCTTTATCAACAACTGTCTTCACTGGCTCTATACTGAAGATCAATCAGATGGCCGGGCCGGAAAGAATCACAAACAAGGAACTATCGCTGCGAACAAACAAAACAAGGACCAATCGCCAACCAACAAATATGCAGGAGAAAGTGGAGATGGATTGGACACTCGCTCGCTGAGGAGGCCGCTGGGTGACATCATAGGCGCGTCAGGCCATTGGTCGAGCGGAACGCGAAAGGGAAGAGGCCAGTGGGACGTCAGTGCAAGGGTGACATGGAGGAGATGGTGTGAAGAGGAGTTGAGACGGTATGGGCTAACATGGATGGAGGTGAAAAGTACAGAAGAAGACAGACACAAGCAAGTGGAGACGTGCAGTTGAAGCCCTATGTTTCACTAGGAATCCAAGGGAACAATAATAATAATCATTTTTATCACAGAGAAGAAACTCTCATTCGGGTTATATATTTATTTGTGTTTTGTACTAGGCTATGGCTATTATGTCATCTTTAATATTTTTCTCTCATTTACAGATATACTGTCCTTTGGAGGAGGAGTAGTAGTTGTCAAAACTGTAGATTCCATTCGAATAGATACATATACAATGTCAAAACTTCAAACGATTATCGGCAGCAGAAGGTTGAAGATAAAATCAAGTAGATTAAATAGTTTCTTTCATTTATGCCTTTCTGTATAGTCATCTACTCTTATATTTAATATAAAATTTTTCAGTGACGCACAATTATTACACTCAAGAATTCATCCTGTTCTCTCTCACGTGATCATTTAGTTCATACAAAAATGCACTAGTGATTTAGCCTAGAGTTTCTCCTCCCTCCCTCCCTCCCACCCCAACACCTCCATCCCTTTCAAATTTCATTCTTTAGGTTTCCCAGTGAAATTTTTTAAAGAAAAAAAAATGATTTTCATCAATCATGCATAGTCATTTTATACAATCATATACTTTTGCATTTCAACAGAAAAATTTTATGATTTTAATGGTGAAAAACGGGTTTTTTTTATTATGTAGAAGAAATATTATTTTAATTTCTCGTCTTTTCCACTGAATTATTATGATTTACACTCCCCAAATTATTATTATTTTAATTGTCAAAAGATAATTTTATTTATTCTTTAATATTTTACGGTTGTAATTTTATTGTATATTAATTTATTGTAAATAACACAACAGAACACAGCTAAAGATGAGTAGAATATTCACTGCTAAGGTAGCGTTTTCTACTGAACTAATGTTGACAATATTTTATTCTTGTAGAAAATAAAGATGTATACTATAAAATGTGATTGTAATATGTAATTTAGATCGGTTAGTCGTAGACTGTCGTTGCAAACATCAGTATAAACACCTGCATTTTATTGATATACACCTGATTCTGGGCAGTCATGCATTATTACCATCATTATTGTTCTCTGAGGGTTTCCAAGTGGAACATACGCCGTCAACAGCACATCTCCATTTCATCCGAAATTCTGCAGTCGTCTTAACCTGGTTCCTCGATTACTCGATAAGCTTTCACCTCCTCTGTATTGCCCTCGGATGCCCAACTAACCGTTTTGCATACGGGTGCCACTCGTCAGCCTGGCTCACAATGTCACTCATTGGCGTGTGTCCGATACATCTCCATTCCCTTCAGCATATTTCTTGAGCAATGGGTTCGGGGTTAGTTTGTTCCCATAGTTCCTTGTTGCTAGTTCCTTCTGGTCTGCCATTTGATTTTCAGTATGGAGCCAGCGAAGGCAGCTGTTGATAAAAGTCTGCGACCGGTTTGAGATAATTTTTGTGACACATCGAGTTTCTAGCCCATGCTGAATGAGTGTATTTGAAACGATGCCATCTAGATAAGCGAGAAAAGTGACTTGCTCCCATTGATATTTATTGTTCGGTTGATATCTTTGTCACCTTTGTATTCTCTATGTCCATTTGAAGTCCTGTGTTTTGCTGCTTCTCCTGCCAACTTGTTGGTTTTCTTCTGCAGATCTTCGAATCTGTGTGACATAAAATATACATTCCCTGCGAAGTTCAAATCTTCTTTTCGATTCAAGGAATGTTCGCGTTTTCGCTACTCATCGTCTCCCGCATAATCCAGTCCACCAAGATCAGGAATACTGTAGGTGATAGTTGACAGTCTTATCTTACTCCTGTTTTCACTCCAAATCCCGACCGATAGCTGCTACCTTGACGTAGTGGTCGGGCTTGCACATCGCGATGACCCAACAAGCTATACTGGCTGGAACCAATGTTCCTGCAGGTCCTACCATGCCAGGATAGCGATTAGACTAAAAGCAGTCACCGGCTTAGTATAAGAGTCTTTCTTACACTATGCTGAGGGCGAAATCGTACTGCTGGGGAATAGGGATGTAACAGCAGTAAGGGGTTTCCCTCAGATAACCATCATGCCAGCCATGCTGTCTCTCCACTCTGGAGAGAGGGGGTTAGAAAAGGCCGACCCCAAAAATTGTAAATTCCCGACATACCCTGCGGTGGTCCTTAACCGGCGGTCAATCTACTAATACGGAACCAAGCTAATAAATCAGTTCGTACAGGCCGCGTGTTACCGGCCTCAAGCAGCTGTCCCTTGGGCTCTGCGGTCACGCAACACTAACCCTCTTTCTGTTTCAGGTACCCGAAGAGTTAATGAACTTCCGCGGTGTGGGCAGTCGGGAAGTAATAACCGCCCACACACTTCCAAAAGCACATGAAGCCTTTCTGAGCATCTTTCTCCTCTTTCACTTCAAACTCGTCAACGAGCTTCCACTTGTGAAATGCTCGGCATTTGTTATCATTGTGTCGCTTTTTAGTGAGGTTTATAAAGGTTTGCAGCAATTCACCCTATAGTTTTGAAGCAGTTTCCAAATTACAGATCTGTCGTAGGTTTTTGTCAAATTCAATGAAGTCGAAGTTAAGGTACTGTTCCAATGATAGTTCTACTTATAAATGGATATAAGTAGTTTATCGATTAAAGTCTCCGGACAAACAGTGATAGCCTCTCTCATTGGTAAATTCAATGAAGTAAAGACATGTCAAAGAGGTGAAAACGCTTGGAAGATTGCAATAAGGAAGAAACGAGACATATTATTACTTGTAAATAGTGCGATCAACGTGAAATTTGTGAATTTCTTGATGTATTTTGTCACAATTAACATTACTTCTGGCTTTATTTGTCTTGCCCACTCCCACTGTAATCACTCCCTCCATCTCAAGTTTTACTGTATTACAACGACTGTTAAGTTATCCGTTTGCTGCAGGTTAGTATATATGGCCATTGTCTTGCTGATACTTGATGCTTCCTTGTGACAGGTTGTTACTATTTCTAATTCGGCTACATAAATCACGAACTGTCCACATTCACTTCTCGTTCTTCGCATAAATAACCGCACCTGCTATTCTCAAGAGGTCTGCTCCCAAAATCTGATTTTGGCGTGAGCCCCACCCTCCAATCTCTACAACAGTCTCAAAAACCTACAACCTGTAATGCATGTCTCTCTACGGGTTGAACAACAAGTACAAACATGTTCGCCTTATTTGTCTTTACCCTTCAATGAGGCGGCCAATTAAATAAACAAGCTCTCGTGACTGTAAGACTCAATAACCGTTTTGTGACGTTCACCGTAGTGTGCATGCCTGCAGGTGAAGCTATCTTCGTTCAGGGTAACTGATAGACACCGACAGTAGAAATGCATATCTTAATCTTGGAACCTAGCAGTTCTGCTTTGGATTTTCTCCTCAAGTTAATAACACAAGTCGCAGAAAATTTGGATCTCCACAACACCTCTGTGTCTGTCGAACTCCAAAACCAGTCATCCGATGACCATACCCCACAACCATGCATCACTGATTTCACACCAACAGTTGAAGGTAACTTTCGCTTTAAGTACGCTAACCAGATTCAATGTCCCTTACATCTCTTTCTTCAAAGATCTGTGACCACGTCAACCTCGAATTTGACAGAAGTGGTTATACCAGCCTCGCACTGACCATACAGTTTAATGAAATACGCGAAAATTAGATAGGGTGGATTGATTAGTAACTGTAATTAATCGAGGTACATTCAGAACACAAGTGTGGGCACATTGATAATTTATTGTACACCACTTTCGCCAAAAGGACCTGGATTCTAATACCTTTCTATTTTCGTCCCTTAGAACCCACTTAAACAAGATCTTTATTTTGATACTACGTTAGGAACTGTCTAGCTTTTTAAAATCGATTGAGAGATTTTATCAAAGTAATCCACCGCTGTTTTTAATGCTTCTTATCGTTAAAATTAGTTACGCAAGAATGAAGGACCTTAAGATGGTATTAGCTTGTGTTGAAAATGTTTTTATCCTCGATATGCATCCCACTAGTTTGATATCTATACTGGTTAACCCATTGGGCGGTAATTATCCGGAAATTAAATACCTAATTTAGTTATAAAGATAAAACTCACTGACGATAACTTCCTTTTAGTTTCATGCTTATTGATTGAAAGGTATACTATTCAACAAAAATCGCATGCAAAGATCATAAAAGCAATTGGACGGATTGTCATAGGATACTGAATTAGTCACAAACTAACCACCTGTGAATATACTTATTTTCAGCCAGGCTAACGTCGCCCCGTCGCCAGAGACGGCTCAAGTTAACATATGCCACCCTAGCCTTCATGATACGGCTGGAAATGTCATCCGTCACCCCTCGGCCAGTACTCACACAACTGTCCAGATACACAAACTTATCAACAACTTCAAGTGGTTCATCTGAAAGAGTGAGTGCAGGTTTAGGCTTCTGTCAATCTTGTAACAGTACTTGGCACTTAGACGGCGCAAAGCAAATACCATACTTACAGACACTGATCACCAACTGATTAAGTGAGATTTGGGCAACCTGCTTGCTATCGCACAGTAAGACGATGTCTGCATACTCAAGGTCGAGAAGTCTTTCGCCAGGGAGGCAGATCTACACCACTCTCACGAACATCTTTCAGAGCTGACTCCAGAATGTGATCGATGGCAAAGTTAAAGAGAAATGGAGGGACCGGGCAACCCTGTCTAAACCCACTGTTGGTTGGGAAAAGTGATGATAGTTGGTTGTATGCCTTCACTCTACCTGAACTCTTTCTGTATAGAGCTTTCAGGGTTTTCAAAAACTTCTCAGGTACACCTCTCTCTGACAGATAGTTCCAGAGTACAGTTTTGTCCAAGGAATCGAAGGCAGCCCTAATATTAAGAAACACAACGATCGTTGATATAAGTATAAAACTTAGGCACTGTGGTAGAGTATAACTTCATTACAGATAAGATTTTATTATGATAAATAATCACAGTGTTATACAGTAATATTAACTGATGACGTTTCGAGCACAATTATTGCCCATAATCATATCAAGTCACTCACACAACTTGCTTGTTTCCTTTATATACATCAGTAAAACTGATTAGACATTTGAAAAAAATCAATATAGGATAAATTACATTGGGAAATAATACTAGAGTTATGAATAAAATACAATAAGATGGGAAATGAGGTGCATTTTAATGTAAAAATAAGTAACTTGTCGGAATGTTACGATGTGAATGCATTAAAATGTATTCGAATTTTCAGATGAAGAGGATAATCAAAGCACTCCACTGGGATCTTGGTTTCAGGTTTCCGAAATGCAGCAGACACTGACAGCGAAGCCTTCTAATGTTCTTACCAAACCTGCCTGTTGTCCGATTTGTATCAGTGTCCGAACATTGTGGGTTACAAGCTTGAACACGGCGCGCGGTCTCAGGATATGTGTGTTAGGTGTCTCACTGGGGACAACCATTTTGAAGACTACTCACTAAGGTCTCGAAACGGCACAGATAAGCTGGGAATTTTAGACGAAGGGCTGATGAAAAAGTGAAGACAATAGCAGAAGTAAAACACAGGAGTCTATGTATAAAAATAAAAGGAAGGTTGCCGAGAGATGCGTCAATAGAAACATCATTATTGTTTTATAGCGATGTTAGGAGCACGCAGTAAGTCTCTCTGACAGTTTGTTATTTCATTTCATTGATTGTGTGAGGGCTGAGATACTGCCCGGGCACCCAGACCAAAGCAGGTGGTTGCCTCAAGGGACCACGCCCGAGCCTTTGACTTGGAGTCTAATCCGCAAGGCAGTGAAGCAGCGTCAATAGCAACATTCCTGTGGTTGCCGGTGACCAATACAAGTTCGTACGCCATTTGATCCGATTCGGTTCTGGAGTCCATGTACGCCCCATTAACTGCTTTTAGTCTAACCGCTATCCAATTAGCCTTCCTGAAATGGTAGGTCCTGCAGGAGCATATGTCTTAGCTTGTTGGGTCACTGTGGTATTCAAGCCCGACCACCACGACAAGGTAGAAGTTGTCAGCTGGGTTTAAACTAAAGGTGGAATCATCATACCCCAACTGACTATGCTTAAGTTATTCTAAATACAAATCCCTTTATTCGAGACAGCCTTCTGAACTGTCTTCCCTTTATCCCAACTTCAAGCACCTGCCTAACACCCACCATCTTCCTACAATTACTATTCAGTTTTGCTACAACTCTTATTGGACTTACGATTTCCCAAAACGAAATCATGACATAAATTTTCCTTGTGTGATACATAATTTTCCTTTCTTTAAATTAAAGAAATATGAAATAACGCATATCATATAATAAATAACAGTGGGAAGAATATCTGATTCAGTAAATTAGGAACTATAAATCACTGTCATCTTTCACATCATCGCTGTCATTGAATGATTTTTAAAAAAAAAGCAATTAATAGTCACAATGACATCTTAGTGTCACCTACAGGAGGGACAAATAGATTTTTAGAAACCCGTTTCACTAGTTCGAAGATGTATTTGGAAAAATTCAGTGCTACCGTTCGAGTGACTCTTCTGTTTCGGGAGATGGAAACATGACATAGATTTAAACTTGAAAGAAAAGACTGTTAAATCCAGAACATGCCTACAAGAAGTACATCTCAGAAATAAATAAAGAATGACGAACGAGGATTATGCTTCTTTTTCTGGTCCGGTTAAGATTTTGAGTTAAAATCTTTAAACGATTGCTTATTATTACAAATATTATTATTCGTCAAAATTTATGCCCTTTATGCAAACATTCCCTCAATACTATCGAATTTTTCATTTATACTATCCGGACTTGTTATTAATGATATTAACTCTTCTCTCAATATATGCCTCCGCCTGTTTGTTTCATTTCACATATTCGTTATTTCATTATGAACCTCTCATTGCAGTCTTACTATCTCCTGTTTAAGACAGACCACTTTGTACTAGCAACTCACCTGACACCTTTTATAACCTTGAACTAACTTGTCAATTTTCCTACCCCACACTCTACAAATCTATTATGATTAATCACTACCATTGTCTCCTGTTTTACAATATATTATATTCGATTTCAGCCTAGCACGTTTGTCACACATATACGACAATTTATTTTGACACCCAATAACTAATCTGTCATTCTACGTCAAGAAAAAATGTATCCGCCGCATAACTGGCCTTTATTGTAAGGATAACAAATATTATATTTTATAATTGTAAGAACCTGCATAGGAGAAATTATTGAAAAAAATGTTCTTCCTTCAGATATATCTGTCATTCTTTCGAAATCAGTATCATCATCATCTACAATCCACTCTCCGAGAATTCATTTTTCAGTTACAACAATTAAGAAGCTCGTTACAGACAGAAGAAATTGCTGTTGAACACGTACACAAAATTCACGAAGTTCAACTGGAAATAGCAGATTCAACAGACAACTAAGCGAAACAAATGAAATCGTCCTATACCACCATCTTCATGTTAATTCTGGTAAAATTCCAATATTACAAAATATTAGTCTTAGAAACAGAACAAGTGTAAATAATGCTGTAAAAAGTGTATAATAACGGACTTCGCGAAAGACTATGTCATGAGGTCGGTGTGCTGACGTAAAAATTACTCGGATTTGTCTAAACATTCGACCTAAAGCGACAACTGATTTATATATTACTATTATAACCTTTAATTCCTAGAGGAACATAGGGCTTCAGCTACGCATCTCCATTACCTTCTGTTTTCTGCCAAATTTTCACCTCGCTCCAAGTCTGCCCACATGCTTTCATCTCCTCTTCACATGACCTCCTCCAAGTCTGTCTGTCTGTTTTCGACATAGAACGTTGCACAAATGTGCGCCATTTCAAGTCGCCACACTCCGTGTAGCACGCGAAGCAAGAGAAGAAATGCATATTAGAGACAGTGAGCAGAGGTGTGAGACAAAGGAGTAATAAAGAAATACAAAACTGTTTCATTGGAGATCATAAGTCACAGGGAGTGGATGCATCTGCGCCACTGAGAACGGTTTTGAGCCATGTCACCAATTGTTTCCAACCATAGACTTTTACCGTCCCGAGGACCCCAGCCTGGAAGTCTACACCTTCCTACGTGGCTTAGACCAACTGTTGTGGATTTCATTGACTGGTGAGGCCAAGTTTTTGTTTGACCGCCGCTAGCTTTTTCCAGCCTGACCCTATATCCGCTAACATAGCTCGTCGAGGGAGGCGATGGCTCGGCACACGTAACACATGTCCTAACCATCTCAGTCTTTGTAGCTTCACGACTTCGTCGATTGATTTCCCCTGTTTACCTAGAACTCTACGCCTAACCTCAATGTGGCTCACCTTATTATGCCACTTTACACAGGAAATAGAGCGGAGGCACCTATGATCAAAGACAGCTAGCCGGCCTTTTCATGTCTTTCACTCTCAGTGACCAGGTCTCACAACCATAAAGGAGGGCGGAGCGGACTGATGAGCAATACACCCGCCCTTTGGTCGATAGTCGAACATCTCGTCTACGCCAGAGTCGGCGTAAACTAACAAATGCGAAACGAGCCCCTTGTATTCGTGCTGAGATTTCGTCAGAGATCAGCCCGTTGGCACTGGCTGATGGTACTTCCCAAATAAGTGAAGCGGTCAACGTGCTCTACCACTTCACTTCCTATTTTTAAACTAGGCGTCGATGTAGTCCAGTCCTGTAACATCAACTTGCATTTGGCGGGAGCGAATCGCATGCCAAACATTCGTAGATTGCGGCTCAAGGTGTTTAGAAGACTCTGCATTTCGTCAGCGTCTTCGCCTAGAAGGACTATATCGTCTGCATATTCCAAGTTAACGAGATTATTCCCCGGTAGTAAGTCAATCCCTGAGTCGCTGAAGTCACTTAGGGTTAAGTCCATTAACACATCTATGATGAAGTTGAATAGAAAAGGGGATAATGGGCATCCTTGACGGACACCACTGGTCGTCATCAGTTCAGATGACAGCTTGGACGACCAACTCGCCGCTTCCCTTTCGGGTTCCACTCGAGCGATAGCTTGTCTAATGATGTCACTTGGTTGTTTGTTTCCTCAGAGTATGGCCAATCCATCTAGCTGCATTTCTTCCTGCCTATTTGTTTCACAATCGGTTCCTGCACTGTTGGTTCGCTCATTGCCAGAGATCCCTGTTGCTGATCTTTTCTGGCCAGCCATCTGATCTTGAGTATTGAGAAAAAAAAAACTGTTAATGAAGGTCTGAAGTTTGTATGAGATGCTCTTTATGACTCGCCAAGTCTCTGATCCGTATAGTAGCACTGACTTCACATTGGAGTTGAAAATCCGGATCTTATTTTTGATGCTGAGTGCTGTTGACCTCCACACAGACTTAAGGGTAACGAAAGCTTGTCTTGCTTTTCCGATTCTGGCTTTGATATCCTCGTCAGTTCCGCCTGCCTGTAGTTGAAACGATGCTTCCCAGGTAAGTAAAGGAGGTTGTTTCTTTCAGGTTCCTCCCATTTATGCTGATTGTTGTTGCTGTTGGTGTTGGTCTGGAATCTTCATCACCTCTGTTTTACCTATGTTCACGTGAAGTCCTATCTTTGATGTTTCTTCCGCCAGCTTGTTGCTTTTGCCTTGCATATCTTCCAGTTTGTAGGAAATCAGACAAATATCATCGGCAAAGTCCAGATACTCCAATTTTTTTTGTGTGAGTCCATTTTGTGCCTGTTTCCTCATTGCCTGTTGTCTGTCGCATTATCCAATCTACTGCAATCAGGAAAATCATTGGTGATAGTAGGCAGGCTTGTCTCACTCCCGTCGTCACTTCGAAGGCTTCCGTAAGTTTCCTGTTGTGGACTACTTGGCATGCAGCATTGTCGTATAACTGTTGGATGAGATGTATAATTGTCGATGGGACCCCGTAGTAGCGAAGTAGTTGCCAAATCAACCCTCGATCGACGCTGCGCTATCGAAGGCCTTTTCAAAGTCGATGAAGTTGAGTGAGGTGGAGAGGTGACGGCAATTCCAAGCTTTGTTCAATGATGATCCGTAGAGTGGCGATTTGATCAATACATGACTTGTTTCTCCTGAATCCAGCCTGTTCCGGTCGAAATAATTTAAAGCCTATATATATATATATATATATATATATATATATATATATATATATATATGCAGATAAACAGAAGGCATTTCAGAATAACCACACGGAAATATCAAGTATATTATGTGCAGTGGTTGTATTTGCAGAGCTTATCACTCACCAAATATTAAAATAATTGAGGCCATATAAAACTTCAAAGTTTATCAACAGTCATCAAATCAAGTGTAAAAAAAGTAGATACACAGACGTGGTGGTGCGCCACCAAGTGCATAGGAGACACGTTTGAGTTTATTCCAAAAAACACTTCAACAGTCTTCGAAATATACAATTGAGTCAACAACACTAGAGTAAATAAATCATACATAACACTAGATAGAAAAAAAAGTTTTTCAGGGAAAAAACTTCATCAAACAATCATGAAGTAAAGTATACCGTGAAAGTAAACAATAAAGTTAATTAAAAGCTTCATCAAATTAAATTCTGTACAGAAATACAATCGGAGTATGAAAGAATATAATAGTAAATATCATAAATATACGAAAAAGGTTACAAAAACGAAAAGCTGATTAAAAAAAAGATAAACATATTTTAAATTCTATTTTTTACAAAGAAATACAATTAAAGTATTCACATAATTACACTGATCTGAGAAAACAAATCACAATATTAAAATGTACACAGTATAAATAGTAGGATAATGTATAAAATTTGAAAATTTATGAGGAAGTGATTTTTTTAGGAGGCAATGGAGGTGGTGATGAACGATCTGTTGTAATAGTTGTGTTGTGTGATAAAAACACCCGAGTAGGATTTGCTAAATTTGATAAGCCAACTGATTCACCGTGAATATCAGCATTCTCAAGTGTTGACTCTTTATGAGACGACGGATTACGAGGAGGCAGAGTAGGTGGATTTAACGTGTTAACATTTAACGATCTAGATGCAAAACCTACGAATGTAAACAGAATACAATAAAAAAATGAATAAAAACAGAATGTAACTGATATCTTTACAGGAGTAGTAAAGTGAAACTATCTGTAGGAGAGAAAAACTACTTTCATATATTTAATCCACGGATATTCGAATGTGTCTGTCTGTTTCGACATAGACTTTGCAAATGTGCGGAAGTTCAAGTCGCCACATTCCGTGTAGCACGCGAAGCAAGAGAAGAAAGACGAAATGCATAATAGAAACAGTGAGCAGGGTGTGAGACAAAGGAGTAATAAGAAAACAAAACAGTTTCATTGAGATCATAAGTCACAGGAGATGCATTGCGCTAAGAACTGAGCCATGTCCATTGTTTCCAACCATAGATTTTACCGTCCAGGACCCAGCTGGAAGTCTCTTCCTACGTGGCTTAGACCAACTGTTGTGGATTTCATGATGTGAAGTTTTTGTTGACCGCGCTAGCTTTTCCGTTACGAGCACTGAAATACGGAAACTCCGAAACACGATAGGACTAAAAGTCCTATGCGGAAAAGAGAGTAAAACTCAGTTTGCTACTTTAATCTACCTAAACGCGTAATTTGTAGAAATTAGATAAATTACGATGTAATATTCAAATGAACGAACACAAAAAATTTCTTTCAATTATTAACTGAATGCAGATACCTATTTATGCAAGTAAATTGCTTTCCCACAATGTAATGAATTATTTGCACAGCGGTTTTGAACACATTATGATACCACCTATTCTTCATTCACCTGAACCTCTGTCTTCCCTGTCCATTCTGTGAACTTAGTGGTCTACGCTTGTAGATCTTCGACTTTGTGTGACACCATCTGCTAACTTCGGATCTTCTAGAGACTTCTTGTTTCCCCAACATATTACTCCCCATGGTCTGTTACATGATCCACTCGATCACAATCAAGAATATCGAAGGCAGACAGTCTTGTCTTATTCATGTCTGCACTTCAAACGCTTCTCTGAGTTCACACTGTGAATCACACCAGGATGATGCAAATTAATATTTTATTTAGCATGATTCCCCGACAGATTTTGAAAAGGCTTAATTAGCACTCCTTTGGTGGTTCAATAAGGTACCTTTCTTTTTTCTAAACCTTTTACGATGCTGGCGTACGAATATCCGCTGCAATTTCTGTTTCCATTCTCAAGGCTTCAGTAGGAAATAAGTCCAGTTTTGCAGCCTTTATAGCTTTCAGTATCTTCACGGTATCCAATACCTCAATATTCGTTGGAAGATCACTATTCACTAGTTGTTGTGAGGCGTATGGAACGGGACTTTCTTGGGCGAAAAATTGCTGTAGCATTAAGACGTTAACGTAGGTTAGCTTTCATGAATTTGCAACGTCCTAATTCTCGCTGGGATAAAGTCTTGAATTCTCGAAGTAAAACCGTAGAATCTATCACTTCACCTCTATTGCACATACTGTTGAGAGGGATTTCCGAGGCCCGTAGGCTTTCAAACCAGTCCAAACCCAACGAATATATATATATATATATGCTTTAAATTACTTTGAGAAGTTAAAAGTCAGCAAGCAATAGAGCTCCAAGGTCACAGGTGGGGGAAGGGAATACAAAGATAAGTGTAGTATTTTAGAAAAATTAGGTATATAGAACAGAATTGTTAACTGGTGGGGCAATAATCTATTCCAGCCACCCAAACGACAACAACGAGCATACCAACAGCATTCACAGCTGTTATGCTTCAGAAACTAATCTCTTTCAGGATAATGACAGCAAGATTCAAGTCAAAAGAAATGAAAGTCACAATTTTCAATGATATACTTCCATAAACAATGCAGATAAAGAAAAGAAGGAAGACTCCTTCAGACAAATGCAAACAGTAATGGGCGGTAATTCGCGATATCATGATACTAATCTAGTTCAAGGAACCTTTAAAGCAACAAGAGATAGACCACAATTCAAGTTCAGTACTCAGAAACTAAAGGACGAAACTGCAAAAGACACCTTCATTGCAACCATCAGAACAAAGTAGGAGATATTATGTGGCATCCCAGAGGGAACGTGCATGGAAGAACACTGGAACTCTCCAAAAGAGATGTGCACATTCACTTTAAAAAAAAGATGAAAGACAAGGAATGGCTGTCTACATTCAAGTAGAAGATAATGGAGCACAAGAGGGTGGTGAAACAGAAGTTGAAAGAATGTCGACATAGACAACCGAAGGAGAAGATAATTTTAATGTACAACGCACGAAATGGAGAGGTGAAGAAGAGTGCCAGGAAAGACAAAAGACAATTCTGCGACACACTTGCAACTGAAGCAGAACAGGCTTCAGGTAAACGAGACTTTAGAACATTATATTAGTTAACCACCTCTATCTGAAACGAAAGCAATGCAGATGAAATCGAAAAAGGTTTGCCAATGGAAGGTAATTAGGAAATATCCTTGGAAGTGCATTCACAACTCAGTGTGCATAGCGTCAGTATATGAAATTCCATTTATTGACAGTGTCATAGAGACGTGTGCAGGAAAAGAGGTAACATTATTATTATTATTAATTGGTTCCTGCTGGGTTGGTTCGCTCATGGCTAGAGATCGATCCCTGTTTCTGATTTTTTCTGGTCTGCCATCTCATCTCGAATATTGAGCGAAGACAGTTGTTGGTGAAGGTCTGCAGTTTGTCCGAAGTGCCCTTTGTGACACGGCGCCAAGTCTCCGATCCGTATAGTAGCACTGACTTTACATCGGAGTCAAGAATCTGGATCTTATTTTTGATGCTGAGTGCTGTTGATCTCCACACAGACTCTAGAGTAATGAAAGCTTGTTAATTCCTGAACGTGAAAAGCTACAGCACAGTTATCAACACTAACTCGTTAAGAAACATTACCACTGCAGGACTTTACATGCTAGTGATAAAAGGTCCAACTATGACTAACCTGAAAGTTCTGTCGCTTCACATGATGAAGAACAATTTCTCTCGGTCGGCAGCGTACGGGAGGATACAGAAATCAAACTTCTGCGTGATGGTCTTGGAGGAGGACTAACACTGTCTAGAGTTTCATTCATAGGTGTATTTTCACATTCCTGTGAGACATTTGATGACTGTATCTTTGACGAATTTTCCGCTATACAATCACATGAAATGTGACTATCCGTTGAACAAACGGTTAATATATCCATTGCAGGTAGAGCCGTACAGCATATATTGCTGTGGTGTAACGATGTGGAATTGGGAAAATTATGAAATCCTTGAGACGGCGATGGTTGGCGAAATAATTGTTCTGAATGTGTATTTACATTTGAATACTTGCTTATTCGAGGTGGAAGAGGTGGCGGAGAACTGTTTTTTGCACGTGTTTCTTCACATCTTTGTACACATTTTATGTCGAATGGTACTGATGGTGGCCTTTCAATGTCTTTAGGTTTTGGAACTGTTGGAGAAGTAACACGTAAATCCCCATAAATATCTCCTATATTAGAACAAATTAGACAAATAATCACATTAAGATACAATCTTCAGTCACGAAGGAAATAGAAATGACTCACAAATCACCAAATATGGCGAAATTTTGTAATTGAGAAACAAAAACTAAATAAAACTGATGATAAAATGTCGACTTACATTTAATAGAACAAACACTGTTCTTTTTTTGTAAGCACGTAACTCTGTTAAAAAGCTTACCAAGAGGCGTCTAGTTTGAATGAATAGTCCTGCTGAAATCCCTTATCCGACAGTTAATAAAGACCGGGTAGGTTTAACTCTCCAATACATATATTGATCAAAGTACTAATAAAGAAATAGGAGGTTATTAACTAAAGGGTTAAGCTTTCGAATTGTCCCTCCTCCCCCAATTTAATCAGCAATAAATAGCTCAAAAAAAACTCAACTCTTCACTTACCTAAGGCATAAATTAACATGAAAGCCATAATGTTAATATAAACAGTCCTATGTATCGGTAGCATTCTTCACTCAGTTAGATTTTCCTATACCATGAAGGATATTCCGAAACTTTACTAAGTATTATTTAATTTTATAGTTTCTATTGATTTTCTATAGTTTGGTTTGTAAGGGTTAGTTATGTTTTTACGAGTTGGGGTCGCGCTAAATCACGAATTGGTAGAAGTTAGAATTCATGAGCCATTGAAACGAGTCCCAGTGGCTGAATGGTATACGAGCTTGCCTTGTAACCGGAAGGTCCTGGGTTCGAACCCTGGCGGTGGGTGCGTACTGCCGATCATTCCCAAATTAGGATGAAACAGCAGCTGTCCAGTACTCCCTGGTGGGTTTTCAATGGTTCTCTAACTGATATCAATCCGTGATCAACTCGTAAAAAGTTTCTATTGAATTGAGACGTTGTGTACAGAAAGACAGCTCATACAGGCAGTAAATCAAAGCAGTCCATATAATGGAAGAAATATTTCATAAGCACATAAATCCATATACTCACCAATAATGGATGGCTTCAAGTCAATGCAGATTTTGTCAGCTCCAGAAAGCAAAGATGACTTTTCTTCAGAATTTTGAGGGTATACAGTAGATTCATTAATTGTTGCACACACTGTAGTATTCAACTTACTACTTGACCGCTCAAACGTTTTGTCGGCTAGATCAGAAGAAACCTTCATTAACGGGTTTTCATTGGTTGAAGAAGATGAAGAACAGTTTTTTACAGTAGAAATCATCTGAACAAGGTTACGAAACTCGCGTGAATCAGCAGTAAGATTGGGATCCGGCTGAACGAGATTCAATGCAGCTGCAATTTTTAGTTCCACAGGTGTGAAGCTACGTTCTCGAGATGCCTGAAAATAAAGAAAAAACATAATAGATTATACAAAAATTAACATATATATGTGACTAGATATCGGTCTACAGAAAGCATGATTTAAAATTAAAGTGAACGATTGTGAATTTACAGACGGCACATGAATTTTCGGTGCTGGCAATAAAAACATTTTTGAAAGTCGAAGCAAACACAATACAAAACCGAATCAAGTACTCTGAAAGACTGATTATGTGGTTTCAGATTCAATAAGATATTCATTATACTCCAAGTTCTCCCCAATGTGCTTTAAGAATCACTTTTCAGAGTGGATAAATAAAATGGTTGGTCGACAGAAGTACAAAAGTATATCGGTTCAAGCTGCCACTATATGAAAAAATGTACATCACCAATAATGAGTAACAGACTAACATGAAAGTCAGTCAGCATTGAAAACACAGACGTACATGCATCAACCCAACAAAGAATGTTTAGTTGGTGTTTGACAGATAGGTTTTTAGGTAAGGTTTAAAAACCTAGTCAAATTGAAAGTACAAACAGCGGGAGTGCGGAATCATTAATTAGACTAGTTTAATTATCACTAACAGTATGAGAGGCATACATTCCTCTGGATTACTGATTCCAATGAATTAGGTTATCCAAGTTACTTATTTCAGATACAGAGTAGCTGAAGTTGATAAGCAAGTGTCCCCAAATGTTCGACTCTCACAGATTGATCACGATTTTTTATCGGAACCTTGCAAATTTCTCTTAAAGTTAGCTAAGAATGAACAATGAATTGACATTCAGATGTTGATTTTTCGAAAGTGCTTTTAACTGCAAGAGGTATCGATGAGTGAACAACTTTACTTGTGATCTCACAGAAGATTATATTGCAGTCTATGCTGAGCAATTGTTTGATATATCTGTTTACAGATATTTGATGTGTGATTTCACCAAACTTTATCCTACATATTCAACGTGTCAATAAATTTTTCTTTAGAGGTAAAAGTATTTATTCAATCATAGAGACAATTTTAAAGAATTTGAAGTACACAAAGAATATTATCATATTAGGTGACGACGATTAGAATGCCTCTTACTTATTGGTTTAAATTCGTTCACAACATTCGCAGTTCGAGTGTTTTGTAAGCAACATTTTGAATAGCACAGATACCGAATATCCCTTTTACAGAACTTTTCTTTTGCTTCCAGAATTTAGAGCTTCGTGACTTCTAATGGATAGACTCTGATTTCCATATCGTCGTATTCCATCAGTTCAGTTGATGACATAATTCTAAGAAAATACCTTTAACTATTAATTTCAGACAAGTACGTGGATACAAATTCCATAACGAAGTCCCTAGAAGCCGACAAGTTAGAAAGCAGGGGACTTAAACTAACATGTCTCAAAATCAATCCAGTTGGAGGCTACATACCTTCATGATATTTTCATTTAGACTGTAACGAACTTTATCGACTTGTATTAAGGTAAATTACATACAATTATACTTTGATGTGGGGATGTTAAGAGTGAAATTTTAAAGTATAACCCAGTAATGGTAAAGTTACGTGTTGACAATTTCTATATATTTAATTACTGGTTTGTAAGGATTCGTTTAATTGGTTACAGGATTTGACCGTGGGCTGACATCGGTTACAGAACCACTGGAAAACCTGGAAGTACTGTACAGCCGCTTTGTCTTAGTTTGAGACTCTTCATCTGTACTCACCCACTGGGGTTCGAACCCAGGACCTTCTGGTTAGAAGCATTGTCCACTGGGTCGGGGTCAAAGTGGCTTAATGGTTTACGAGCTAGCTCGCCTTGTAACCACAAGGTCCTGGGTTCGAACGCCGGTGGGCGCGTAAGGCTAAAGAGTACCAAACTGGGACGAAACAGCTGTCCAGTACTTCTAGCTTATCTTCCAATGATTCTTTACCTGATATCCGATCATGATGAAATTTGTATATTTATTTGACGCTTAAAAGGGTTTTCAGGTTTTACGGTGTCTATCAGAAAGCACAGTCTAGAAATACCTTGTAAAAAGACAAAATAGCAATAAAAGTAATCCCTATCATCAGAATATTAAGTCCAACTTTTTTATACTATATCCCAAAGCAATAGAAAACCAATATATCAATCCTGATAAATCAACACCTGAGACTGATTCGAAAACTATGAAGCTAAATATAGAAAGAGATAAAAGCACGTTCCTAGTATGAAAGCATTTCTAGTGAGAACTGGTAACCAGAGGGGCCCACCAAGTCAGACAAGATGATAGCTACTAGCCTGTGATACTGGCTGGTGTTTGTGCTACATATATATATATATATATATCATGAATCTGCAGAAGCTGGAATTCATAAGCCATTGGGTCAGGTCTCAGTGGCTGGATGGTCTACGAGCTCGGCTCATAGCTGGAATGTCTTAAGTTTTGATCACAGTGGGTGCGTACCGATGAAGAGTCCCAAGCTGAACCGAAACAGATGTCCAAAACTCCCAGCTTTACCAACAGTTGTCTAACTGATATCATTTCGTGATCAATCCTGAAAACATATTTGCCAAGGCGATAGGAACAAAGCAAGAATAATGATTGTAACAGCACAATATGAAGTCGTTTTGTATTATTTTGGCAGATTCAGGACTTTTATGCTTAAACTGATACTTCCTATTAATCATCGAAAATCTACAAAAATGACCTCTGATTATCCTGGTACATTTGTTGCCCTTGTTTTCTTCATATTTATCAGTCGGAAGAATCGTATGAAGTTTTTTTTTTAAACGATGCCTCTGTTCTTGGTCTTTAAAGTGAATGAATCTCCTGGTGACCACACGGTGATCTGGACTTAAGTCTATCAAACAAAGTTTACACTCATCCTGTTTTTTCCTTCCATTCTCCAATACGCCTATACAAACTGTCTCTATTACTGAGAAATCTCCGAAGTGATGGAAACTCGCACTGAGAACACTAAAGACCACCTGAATAAATAAAACTTTGACTTTGATCATATGTTGAAAGAAATGAATTCAGTTTGTCACAACAAGTTAGTCTAGTTCATTCAAGAGGTTTAAACTAAAACAAGATTAAAATTCGAGAAAAGTATATGGTTAAAAAATTATGTGAAGATATTTCAGATAATCCTGAAAGCTATTACACCACAACCTGTCACGTTGTAAATTGAATCAAACAAAGACAGAAAGTCATTCACCTTGTTCCGAAAACCAAGAAAAATTGTCAGCGAAATCCAAATCGAAACTAAATACAAAAGTATATATCATAAACCGTCTGAATTAAAACCAATGGACCGAGAGAAACCAGTTTGATTTAAATCTTAACTTGTTGATATGACTCATCAATACATTATGCTCCTAAATCCACAGCCTGCACTTTTGCTGATTGATTATCGAACAGCAACACAGAACTAAATTAAGAATGAATTCATTATTATTCCCCGACTGGACAAAGGATCAGGTGTTGCGATAGTGGGCAATGTGATTCGAAAAATCAGATTAATTCTGAGTGACATATCAACGTTATAAACTTATCAATCCAGGAAAGATTCACATGAATAAATCCATGACAAATAAGTCTGTCTGTCTGTTTTCGACATAGAACTTTGCACATGTGTGCGGCAGTCCAAGTCGCCGCACTCCATGAAGTACACAAAGCAAGAGAAGAAAGTAAAAGGAAATGCAAAATAGAGACAGTAAACACAGATAAGAGGCAAAAAGAATAGTAATATCGAAGAACAAGATAGTTTTATTGGGTATTATATGTCAAAAGGAGTGGATGCATCTTCGCCAGCCATTGAGAACGATTTTGAGCCACATCAACAATTTTCCCCAGCCATTGGTGTTTATCGTCCCGAGGACCCCAACTAGACAACAGTCTAAACCTCCCTACATGGCTAGCTGGCTTAAACTAACTGTTTTGGATTTCATTGACTGATGAAGCCATGTTTTGCTTTGACCACTACTGGCTCTATTCCAACCTGATCCATTCTATGTCAGTTAACATTGCCCGTTGTCGAGGAAGGCGACGGTTAGGCATACGTAACAAATGTCCTGACCATCTCACTAATTGATGTAACTTCACAACCTCGTCGATAGATTTCTCTTCCTTACCTAGTACTCCACGCCTAACCTCAATATTGCTTACCCTTTTATACTACTTCACAAGGGAGATAGAACGCAAGCACCTATGATCAAAGCCGGCCTTTTTATGTATTCTACTTTCAATGGCTATATCTCACAGTCATAAAGTAGGATGGAGTGGACTTCTGAGCAGTACACACGCCCTCTGGTCAACAGCCAGCCGGATGTCACGTCTACGCCGAAAACGGTGTAAACTGGCATATGCGAAACTGACCTTCTGTATCCATACTGAGAATTCGTCAGCGATCCACCCATTAGGGCTGATGCAACTCCCCAAATAAGTGAAGTGGGAAGACCATAAGCAGCTGGAAAGAACAGGAGTTATAATAAAAATGGGCTCACACATATTTGTTATTCTTGCTTCATTCAAGTTCATGAATGGAAAAAGTTGTATGAAGCTTTTAAAAGATAGATATACACATTTATCACATGTCTACGACACATAAAGTAACGAATACGTTTTAAATGTGCTTCTATTACAAACACATATAAAATTTAAAAGCTTCATATAAATATCAAATTTAATCGTAAACTTAAATAGTAAACAGTGGACTTACTGTTGAAGATGTGTCACCGAGTTTAGGCTGGATTTTCAAAGATTTTTCATACATTATATCGTCAAAGGCATTTTCACTTTCAACACCCCATGACCTTAAAGGGTCTAGTGTTTCTAAAAAGTTCTGTAACAAGAGTAAATTAAACGTCAAAAATTTAACATGAAATTGTTCACATGACTCTCTTAAAGAAAGCAAACGTGTTAAGAAACAAATAAATTTATCATTTAATTTATTTTCTGCAGGCAACACTGAATAAAATTTTGCAGCACAAGAGTGCACCAGTGTGCTTCTAGTTGTCATATATAAATAATAAGATGTAAATGTATAAGAAAAACATCTAACAAAGTAGGGTGTAGAGGCTCAGATCAGGATTAGATATTTACCAAGTGCAACCAATTAACGAACAACACCTAAAAACATTAACTAAGTATTAACTATCACAGAGAATCTGAACTAATCAAATTTGACTTATTCTACATGTATCAATCAGCTGAACTCAGTACTATTATACGGATCAGAGATTTAGCGCCACCTCACAAGGGCGCTTCAGACAAACTACAGACCTTCATCAACAACTGTCTTCGCTCAATACTTAAGATCAGAGGGCAGGCCAGAAAAGATCAGAAACGGGGATCGATATCTGGCCATGAGCGAGCCAACCCAGCAGGAACCAATTAACTGTGCAACAAATATGCAGGAAGAAATGGTGGTGGATCGGCCATACTCTGAGAAAACTGACCATAAAGTTAGTAACATCACACGCCAGGCCATCACTTGAGTGGAATGGAAATGGGAAGCGGCGAGTTGGTCGTCAGTGTGAGGTTGACATGGAGGAGGTGGTGGGAAGAGGAGATAAAAGCGTGTGAGTAGACGAGGAGACAGGTGAAAATGTTGGTGGAGAACCGAATGCAATGGAGACGTTTGGCTGAAGCCCTATGTTCGTCTAGGAACCAAAGAAGACTATATAATAATATAAAGGTATTTAAATAGACCAGGTCCTTTCCACATAGATATTATGCAAAACCTCTTGATGTACGCAGCCAAACACCATCTTTCGGTAAAGAAATATAACTGCCGACTATCGATAACCATTTTACACCAAACACTATTGAAGGACCGGGATTCGATGGCTGCACTTCCTACCAAAAATAAGTCCTACTTCGTCCCAGGCAATTTCCACAACGTACTTCCTTTACATGCAGACATGGTATTGATTTAGAAATAGAAACTAAAAATTACTGGTGTAAAATTCCATCCCGAACATTTGATGTATATAAATTTAAGCATATTTAAATTTCATGGTTTATGGTATCTGATAACACACTGAACAGCACATTAAATTATCCTCATTTATCAAAATGTTAATTAAGCGAAAGAGTCATACTGGATATTGGAGAAAAAATATGCAGACATCAATTTAAAGAAAATGTTAAACGAAACTATAAATAATCACCCAAAATGTATTATATTAAAATATTAGCGTTCTCAAGAGCAACTTCAATATGAAGAGCATGGAAGTGTTAAATGAGTGAGGAAAAAATAAAAGTAATAAACGCCTTTTGAGAATGAGATTCATGCAGATGTTCTCAGTTTTCAAGTCTTTCCATTTGTCTTCACCACCTCTTTTTATTCGGCTTGTATAATTTAGTTTCGCTATTAACATTAGTACTCCTAGTGAAACAATAGAAGACGAGAGACTTGGTAAAGGAATGTTTATTTGGAAATCGGCATATCTATATATCCAAATTATGAACACCTTATCTTCATCGCACCATCTGCACAAATCTTTGTGTTGTAGTTCTTCTGCATCTTATGTTGTGTTTCTTTGTATTCCTTTCACATCTCCCATGTATCTCCACAACACTGTATCATTTTTCTTCTCTAACATCATATGTATTGCCTGGCTATTTGATGTTTTAATGCCGATGAATGTCCCCTTATATAATACTAATAGATGTTATCAGTAGCACTCGTCAAACTAGTATACTAGGTTTGAGATTCATGAAGATAAAATAATATATTATGGTGATCAAAAATTGTTGCGTCGGTGGCATAACGGTTAGAACGCTCGCCGACCATGCACATGGTCCGGGGTTCGATCCCCTGCCACAGACGCAATCCTTTACCTTGCTAAGCCAGAAATATTCCTGGTAAAGAGGAAAGATTGGGCAGGAGGCTAGCAACCCCATCCTGTAAAATAAACACTGCTACAGAAACTTCAAGCCACTAGCTTGAAGCCCTACAGTCCACTGGGAAACGTGAAGGAAAAAAATCTAAAATTGGACAGCAAACGCCACTACTTTTATTCTACGGTAAACCGTTTATTCGTGAAGAATGTTGACAAATATGTGAGGACTTGAAATATATAAATTCTACTGAACACAGTGATACTGTCAATGCAACCATTGGCTGTTAACGCTTCACTTTTTGAAGCACAGATTTAAATAATTTAATTTCATAAACATAAACCACCAAAATTGATTTAATCCAATTTTTTCTGATGGAATGTTACAACACAACTAAAAAACTACACAACAATTTACTAGCACACACAAAGAAAAAACAATACCACTGTGATATTTGTGCATAACAGAAGTGACCGGTGTTCATTTAATCAACTGTATAGCAATATATAACACTACACTTACACGAATTGGTTTATTGATGGAGAAATTGTATGGTGTTTGTTGAAAAGACAAATAGTATTCAACAAGTTCAGCTAATTGACGACATTTCCAAAAATTTATTAAACAACTATTACTATTCGAATCGCGTACATCTGCAACTGATACAAATGGTAATGAAGAAGGATTAACCCAATCCGAGTGCTTTAATTCTAAATGTATCAGTTGTGTTTTATCACCAACTGCAATAAATGGTAGACCAGGTGGATGAATTCGATGCAATTTTTCTTGGTAATCATCAAAATAAATATTGCCATTATCACTTTCAACTGATTGGCGTAAACATTCAAACAAATTACGATAATGCTGTTTAGACTTGGAGATAAGAGCCTAAAAAAGCGTTGTGAAAAGGAGGGAGGGGAATCAATACGTTTTTTTAACACAGATAAAATGAATGACTATAGCAGTAAAGTGACTTAAGAAAAATCAAATCTTGGAATCTCTCATAGCAATCTTTACACAGATGTATTGACATAAGACATTCCTTGAAACATAGCCAATACGAGTTGAAGACATGAAAAGGTTGACTGTTTTTGATCATAGATGTCTATGATCTCTTTCTCACGTTAGGTGGTTTAATAAGGTAAGTAATGTTGACGTTAGGCATAGAGTGTTGGGCAAACAGGGAAAATCAATCGATGAGGCTATAGAGTTACATAGATTGAGATGGCTAGGTCACGTGCTGCGCATGCCTAACCATCGCCTCCCCCGACGGGCATTACTAGCTAGCTGATATAGGTGCAGGTTGGAAAAGAGTAAGTGGTGGCCAAACAAAAACATGGCCTGATCAATCCATGAAATCCTTGACGGTTAAACTGAGTCGGTCAGGTAGGGAGATGCAGACTTCCGGGTTGGGGCCCTCGGGACTCTAGGAATCAATGGCTGGAGACAATAGGTGACATGGCTCAAAATCGCTGTCAATGGCGCAGATGTATTCAGTCTCTGTAATCTTTCATATTCCTTTCTACCATTACTCATTCTGTTTCACTCTTATACCTGTCAAACTCTGTTGATTCTCTTCACTTCGGTGCCAAGTTCTATGTTAAATCCAGAAAGACAGACATAAGACAATCGTAGTAAGGAGGTTTATGCACGTATTAGTTAAGGGTTTAAGGGGTGGGAGGGGGGAATATAAGCTATGTAACAGTATGAAATATTAAACAAAAGCAATGTAAACACAAAACAGAAAATGTTTAGTCAAATATTATAGGTAATTAGCAACTTTTTAAAGTTTCTGGGAGTAAAACTTTAAAAAAAAAACTGGCCACAGGCTCGAATCCTACCATAATCCCGATTGCTATTTCTCTTCTTCAAACATCAATTATCATTATATAAAATGAATAACTTAGTATAGAGAAAAGGTTTATTTGTAATGAAACCCACCTCGTATGTTTCACTTAAACGAAATACAGGAGAACTCAGCAGAGCAGCTTTAGCTTCTTGAACTCCTTGTAAATTGTTTAAATGTTCAAAATATGTCAGTAGGTCGGCCACACGTTGCATGACTACCATTCTATCTTCTAAATGATGGGCTGACATGATTGAACTGACTAGCCACCATTTAAACTATGATAAAAATGGTGAGAAAAACAAAGTCACGGTTAAAAAGTATGCTAATATATTAGATTATAATTAGATATTCAGACGAAATCAGTCATAGGATAAAATAAACACTAACTAAGTTCTCAAATAACCAGAAAAAGACATAGTTTTTCCTAAATCTTTATGAGAGGATATTTCTTGATGGCTTCATCGTAGTGTGATATCATATACAGCCGAAGTTATGTGACATTTTTTGAACCTTATAATTATGCTACACAATGTATGTCTTCATCTGCTAGACGTTAACTAATAATACACCTAAAGTTGAATGATATGTTTCCTGATTTGATCATTTTGGTGTCGTTTTCGTCAAGACTGAGCGGTATTCTCGAATACTTCCTTCGTAAAATACAAACTTGCAGTAACCTAGCAAAAAGTGTAATGCATCATTCTTGAAATCTAGTCAGAGTACTTTTCTCAGAAACGCGAATCAAATGGTACTTTCAGGTAACTTCTCTAGGCTTCCTGACTGAGTAATTCGATTGCTGCTAACACACGTTAAAATATGTAGAGAAATGACGGCGAAACCAAGTTTCGGGGAACAAGAGACCAAATTTCTTTTGAAAAAAGATGGAAACAGTACAGAAATTACAGAAATATTTCCTGAAATTTTATTACTAACTTGTTGTGTGTATGTAACTACTCATGTGTAAAGAGAAATTATACACCACGAAAAAAGACCCGGGATATAACTTGCTTTATACAATTACAACAGGGGTGGTAAACAAAGAAGACAAACTAACCTTATTAGAAAATTGCAGTGATGCCTCGAAATTGGGAGATTTAATTTTTTCCTTACCAGTAACTTCCCAGAATTCGATACGAGAGTATAGTTCCCACTCATATAAAGTAACCTGACGAGCTAATTCAAGTGGGTGAACCTGTTCAAAAGGAAAAATTATGCTTTAGCTTACATATTTAAATCTAAAAGTTTAAGCGAAAATGTTGTATTTTAGAAAACGGTGTTCATCGGTAACTCGTTGGACATATCCACTGAAACTATTTACTAAAATATTCATTATAAACAGGTTATCTTTTCTATAAATTTCGGCAAATTTCAGAAGTGTGTCAGTGTTTGTTACTTCCCAACTGCCCGCACCGTGGAAGTTGGTTGATTCTTCGGGAACCTGAAACAAAAAGAGGGTCAGTGTTGCGACAGACCAGAGCCCAGAGGACAACTGCATAAAGCGAGTCACACACGATCTGCATGAACTGGTTCCTTAGAATAGTTCCATATTAGTAGATTTATCACCGATTACGATCACCATAGGGAAAGTCGCAATGTACAACTTTTCATATTAGTTTGTTCTTTAGATGTATCACACAGTGAAACAGTATTATTTACTGGATGATGTTTCGAACAAAATTTATTGTTCATAATCATTTCGTCAATGATGGTCACAAGACTTGGAAACTTGAATTTTAAAGTTTTCCTTGTCCAGATATCCCGGACAAGTGTTGAATAATTCCGATTACACGTATTTTCAGTTGATTCGATGAACAAAGCTTCTGTTATCAATCCCTCCCTCCATCCACCCTGTCAGTTGCATTAGATTTTAAAACTGTCATCCTATCCCATCCAGCGTACTGTATGGTTGTGTGTAACTGCATGTAGTGCTATAGCTGAATTGTTCTCTAGATTTCTTATCTTATTCGGGTCAACCAATCTAGGTTTTGGTGGGTTCTTATGTTCGGCTAGTCTGACTGACCGACCCTGTTCTACTAGTTTGATCTATGTATTTGACCTGACAATCATTCCATTAGGGTATTAGATAAACTGAATTGTTTTGTTTTAAAGGCTTCACAGATGGGATCCTTTAACTGACAAAGCTTGTTTCTAATTGAGTTTGTGGTTGGTTTGAGTGTCAACCACTTTTATTCCTGCCTTGTTAAGAATTCTCCGTAAGGTGTTTTCCGAAGTTTTTTCCTTGTATGGAATTACTACTGATGATTTAGATTTCCTGTCTCAGATTTTCCTCGGTACTACTTAGTAATGTGCTCTATTATTTAAACACTTCACCAATCCTATTTTCACTGAAAAAGGATAGGATGATCGCTAGTTCAAATATCTGTTTGAATGTGTGGGTTTCCTGTAAACCCCAGTGTGTTTCCTACCTATGTAGGGTATTGTAAAAATAAAATAAATAATGATAGTAAATAATAATAGCGACAATATTAATAACAATAATAGTAATATTAATGACGACATTCATGTCAAATATGCGCAAGATAATGACAAATCCAACAACAAGGAATCTAAATCATCAGTAGTAATTCCATACAAGGAAAAAACTTCGGAAAACACCTTACGGAGAATTCTTAACAAGGCAGGAATAAAAGTGGTTGACACTCAAACCAACCACAAACTCAATTAGAAACAAGCTTTGTCAGTTAAAGGATCCCATCTGTGAAGCCTTTAAAACAAAACAATTCAGTTTATCTAATACCCTAATGGAATGATTGTCAGGTCAAATACATAGATCAAACTAGTAGAACAGGGTCGGTCAGTCAGACTAGCCGAACATAAGAACCCACCAAAACCTAGATTGGTTGACCCGAATAAGATAAGAAATCTAGAGAACAATTCAGCTATAGCACTACATGCAGTTACACACAACCATACAGTACGCTGGATGGGATAGGATGACAGTTTTAAAATCTAATGCAACTGACAGGGTGGATGGAGGGAGGGATTGATAACAGAAGCTTTATTCATCGAATCAACTGAAAATACGTGTAATCGGAATTATTCAACACCTGTCCCATATATCTGGAAAATGCTACTACCCCTACGACGACGAATAGGAGAGGACAAATAAAACTATAAGACTCAAGTTTCCAAATTCCATTATGGGTAAATTTTGTTTTGATAAAGTCTCACAGTGTTATACAGTAATGTTTACTGATGACGTTTCGAGCACAATTTATTGCTCATAATCATATCAAGGTAATCACACGACTTCCTAAATTCATTTATATAGTTCCATTGTTTTTCTCTTGATTTTCACTTGATTTGATTGGTAATAGTATTTTCCATATTTCAGGTATGAGTGACGAGTCATTCCTATTGCATGTGTTGGGTGTAGACTCGATGAACAAGGATTCAGTAATCAACCTCTCTCTCCACCTACCTAGATTACTTTTTAGAATTTTAACTCTCTCCCACCCTATTGTGTGGTTGTGTGTTAGCGCATGCATTGCAATTGCTGAGCTTTTTTCTAAATTACTTATCTTCTCGGGGTCAACCATTCTTACCTTAGCTAAATTCTTATGCTCTGACAATCTGACTACCCCTGACCTACTAGTTTGACCTATGTAGTTGACCTCACAGTCATTGCATGGTATTTTGTAAATAATATTATTTTGTCTAATTGGGTCAACTGGGTCCTTTAACCTACAGAGCTTGTCCCTGAGTGAGTTTGTAGGTTTAAATGCCACCCTAATTCCTATTTTATTCAGAATCCTACGTAGTGTCTCAGATGTCCCCTCTTTATATGGTATAACTGTGGATGACTTATATTCTTTCTTATTTATGTTATTATTACTAGTTTCACAATTATTTTTATTTTGTTTTTGGCCTTTAGTGATCTTCCTAATGAATTTTATAGGATAGTTATTCAACACCAACGCTTCTTCTATCTGTTTTAATTCATCATTTAGATCTTTTTTTGTGCTACTTAGTGCCACTGCTCGGTTTGTTAAACATTTAACTAAGCCTGCCTTAACAGTTAAAGGATGAGACGAATTAAAGTCTAAATATCTATTAGAATGCGTTGGTTTTCTATAAACACTAGTGTGTAGTTTGCCTTCTTCTATTCTTTTTATCTTACAATCTAACATAGCTAATTCTCCTTGTTCATTTTCTGATTCAAATGTGAATTTTATTCCCTCAACTTGTGAGTTTATATGTGTCAAGAAGCTAGAGATGTGTTCTGTTTTTAACACTGTGAAAGTGTCATCCACATATCTCCACCATATTTTCGGAGTAGGGTTAAATGTATTGAGGGCACTATTTTCCCAGCTGTCCATAAATATGTCTGCTACGATAGGGGATATTGGTGATCCCATTGCTACACCTTCTGTTTGTCTATATATTTTGCCTTGGAACTTAAAGATAGTAGATGTGAGGCATAACTGAATTCCTAAAATAATTTCTTCAATGGACAGCTTTGTCCTATGACTGAGTTCCGGATCCGCAGTTAATTCTTTTTTAACTGCTTCTAAGGCCATATTAACTGGTATATTAGTATAAAGACTAGTTATATCAAAACTAACCATTGTTTCATCATTCGCTAGTTGAATGTCATTTATTTTATTTTTCATCTCATATGAATTAGTTAATCTAGAGTTTGAACGATTTCTAATGGGGCATAGTATTAGAGCTAAGTGTTTTGATAATTCATACGTGGGGGTATTTCTAAAATCTACTATTGGTCTTATGGGGTAACCTGGCTTATGTATTTTTATAGTACCATATATTCTACTAGCATTATTAGTTTTAGGCATTAAATTAAACCATTTAGACTCACCCAGGGATGGCTTCATTCTGCGTATTAGTTCCGCTGTAGATTTCTTAACCTTATTCATTATTGTATCTACAGGCTTCTTAATTTCCTCATATGGACCCATTTGAATATGTTCAGTAACTTTTTTGATGTAGTCAGATTTATCCAATACTACGGTGGCGTTTCCTTTGTCAGCTTTTGCGATGACAATGTTTTTATCCTGTTTAAGACTAATTAAAGCTTCCCTTTCCGATTTTGTTAAGTTTGATTTTGTTTTCTTTTGATTTTTTAGTGTTAATGCACATTGTGCTCGAACCTCTTCTGCTGTAGTCTTATCTATTGAGTTTAGTGCTGCTTCTATGTTAGGAATGACGTCCTCTGGTTTTAATTTATTAACTGTTACGTTAAAATTTAGTCCTTTTTCAAGTACTTTTATCTCATTAGAGTTTAGTTCCCTTGATGAGAGGTTGATCACCCACTTTGTTCTGTCGATAGAGGATGAAGCATTCATATCTGTTTCATTTGTTGTGTTCTTTTCTTCTATTAGTTTGTTGAATTTTTTGATTTGCGTGATTTTTGATTTTCTTAATGCGGATTCTCTGGCTTTGTTGGATGTTTCAACAACAATTATATAATCTTTGTCATTGATCATACATTTGAGTTTTTGTTTAAGTTTTTCAATTTGATTTCGTATATTATTTAGTTTTACAGTAACTCTATGTAATTCTTCTCTTAGACATAATTTACTGACATGTTCTGCGGCTGATGTTATGAACGCTGCATCCTCTATCGACAGAACAAAGTGGGTGATCAACCTCTCATCAAGGGAACTAAACTCTAATGAGATAAAAGTACTTGAAAAAGGACTAAATTTTAACGTAACAGTTAATAAATTAAAACCAGAGGACGTCATTCCTAACATAGAAGCAGCACTAAACTCAATAGATAAGACTACAGCAGAAGAGGTTCGAGCACAATGTGCATTAACACTAAAAAATCAAAAGAAAACAAAATCAAACTTAACCAAATCGGAAAGGGAAGCTTTAATTAGTCTTAAACAGGATAAAAACATTGTCATCGCAAAAGCTGACAAAGGAAACGCCACCGTAGTATTGGATAAATCTGACTACATCAAAAAAGTTACTGAACATATTCAAATGGGTCCATATGAGGAAATTAAGAAGCCTGTGGATACAATAATGAATAAGGTTAAGAAATCTACAGCGGAACTAATACGCAGAATGAAGCCATCCCTGGGTGAGTCTAAATGGTTTAATTTAATGCCTAAAACTAATAATGCTAGTAGAATATATGGTACTATAAAAATACATAAGCCAGGTTACCCCATAAGACCAATAGTAGATTTTAGAAATACC